ACAGATTGATCATCTAATGAAGTAAGATCCCTATCTCTTCTTGGCCTAAAGGTCAAATTCTGTTGTGTGGGCTTTCTTAGGTCTTACTATTTTTTTAATTACATTCATCTGTCTGTCTGTGTGCACATGCATCATAGTGCATATATGGAAGTCAGAGGACAACTTGGAATTGCTTCTCTCTTTCATGTGGACCCCAGAACTCTTCCTCAGATCTTCAGGCTTGGTGTGCAAGTGCCTTTTCTGGTTGAGCCATCTCGAGGGCCCAGTGCACTTCCTTCCACCCCACCCCCCACATAACACTTTCTCTCTCTCTCCCCTTTCTCTCTTTAATAGCATTGATTTTTTGATGGGAAGTAAATGTTTTTTCATGTGGTATATGCTGATCATCATTTCCTTCCCCATCTCCTCGCAGATCCTCCCTATCTATCCAATCCCGTGATTTCTTTTGCTTTCTTTAGAAAACAAACAGGCAAGTAAAAAACAATTAGACTAGTATTAAAAAACAACAACAAAGAAAAAGCACAAGGAGCACAAACACCAACAAAACCCATAAAAGCACAAAATTGGAGTTAGTGGTGTCGCATGCCTTTAATCCCAGCACGCTGTAGGCAGAGGCAGGTAGATCACTGAGTTCTAGGTCAGCCTGGTCTGCAGAGTAAACTACAGGACAAGCAGCGCTACACATAGAAACCCTGTTTCGAAACAAACAAACCAGAAACAAGCAAACAAAAAACCAGGAAATTGGAAGCCATATTAAATAAGTGAAAGATAAGTAAGGCAAAAAAATGTCCAAACATAGCAATATGAGTCCAAAAATAAATAAATAAATTGCCCAAAATATCATTGAGTTGGTTTTGTACTGGCCATGTACTGGATGTGGGTCTGCCCTGAGTGTTTCTATACTGTGAGACTCCGTGGGAGGGTCCTGGTGTCTTAAATCTTCATCTCCTTCAGAGCGAGGGTCAGTACTTACGTTGTGTTAGGATGAGCATTGCAGATTTGGTTTCCTCTAGCTCGTTAGTAGGGAAATTGTGTGGAAACTTTCAGGCCTAGTAGGGTGACCTGTGATAGTGTGTGAAGGTCACAGACCTAAGTGCTCGTGGTGTCTTCCCAGAGGGGCGCTGCTCAGGCAGACAGTGGAGCGTGGGAAAGTAGCTGCTCCTATGTACAGGCACGTGCGCTGTGCAGCTCCCAAGTCACCCATAGTGGAATGGCCAGGTCTTCTGTTGTTCTCAAGTTCACAAGAAACTTACTCACTTCCTCTGAGACTTTGAATTTTGAGCATTTGGACTTGTGAAGAAGCTATCTGGGTAGTATGAGGAGCCGCGTTTACCTGCCCAGTGACCCCGTCTGGCTCTGCCAGTTTGTCCTGCTCACGTTCTTTAACCAAAGGGCCCAGTCAAGGATGGCGTTTTAGTTCAACTGTCAAGTCTCCTGACTGCAGCAGTCTGGAGCGGTTCTTCAGTGTTTCTGTGACTCCCTGACCTCGGCATTTCGGTAGATGGCGGGCCGGTCACTTTGCAATTTGTTCTTCAAGTTGGATTTGTCTGTACTTTCTCATGATTAAACTGTGGTTGCTCATGTGGCGTTCGAGTCCCACAGAAGTGATGCTAAGTTCCCATTTCAGTATATTTGATGGTGTACGCCAATTGTTTAGTATTTGATTAAGGTAGTGGCTTCCAGATTCCTCCATTGTAAAATGACTTTTCTTCCCTCTGTGATTACCAAGAATTTATGATGAGGTGGTTGAAACCATGTAAAACTTACTCTGTATCTCAGTTTCAACAACAGCTTTCATCTGTACTGATATTTCTTGCTTGAGTGATTATTACAGCAGTGACTGCCGGATGATGATTTCAAATCCCATCATCCTTTTATTTGTATTGTTTGGCATTTTACTTTGAGGAAAAGGTTTTTCTCCTTATGATTATGTAGTCATTTGTTTATATGAACACATACTGAAAGGTTTCTATTTTAATGGGTCCCTTTACTATACTGTTTTATTTTCATGCTCTGTTTGTCCCAGGTTTGGACAGTGGGAGCCCCTTTATGCTGACTTTTGTGTCCTTTGGACATGTCTCTATAATTCTTTGAGTCTAAGACATTTCTGACCCAGCCCTGGAGCCAGTCATATCTCCAAGGAGCACTCGTTACTTGGTCATGGAGAACAGTATTTAGAAATGAAGGTTTGGCTGGGTGGTTGTGGCACGTGACTTTAATGCTAGCTCTTGGGAAGCAGAGGCCAACAGAGCTCTATGAGCTCAAGGCCAGCCTGGTCTACATAGCTAGTTCCAGGACAGCCAGGGCTCCACAGAGAAACCTTGTCTCAGAGAAAGGGAGGGAGGGTGGGAGGGAGGGAGGGAGGATACTAGATGATTAGATGATCTCGTTGCTCTGGAGCTTTCAATAGAGATGCCTAGGGAATGAGTGCATGTGTGTCCCTCTTCTCATGCACTCTTCAATAGAGGTGCCCAGGAAACATGTGTGCATGCATGTCCCTCTTCTCATGCACTCATTCACATTTATTTCTATATCTGTGCATTAGGAAATGGGTTATGTTGGTATTTGCAACTCTACTCTAAATTCATGGTATAAACTAGCTTTTGTCTTTTACATATTCTCATCTCCTGTTCCAACAAAGAAAAAGCTGTCTCCTGTTATCTTTACCATATTTATTTATTAAGTTTTCTCGTTTGTAGCCGGTCTCTTGGCCGTGCTGAGCTGCCTCCTCAGTCAGATGTTCTCTGTTCTCTACATTTAGATTCCCGTGGGGCTGTTCTGCACTTCCCCAGGGTTTGCTTCTTGTCCGTACACTGTCTTCCTCATGGATCTGCAAGAAGTTAGCTAGCCAAGTCATTCAAGTTAAAAGCCAAAATCAAGGGACATCGTCCCAAACCAAATCTTTGAGGGTCAAGCATATAATCAGAACTGGATGAATAACCAGATCTGAGGGTTGTGTGACTTCTCACCTGGCCCCTAGGAAGAAAATGGTGAGCAGAGATGAATATGACATGTCTGACAGGTTTTCATGGGAGCCCTGCCTTTCTTCGGTGTGGTCTTCATGCACTGGACCTCATGTTCTCTGGACTGAGGGAAATAGAGTTGGTGTTTTGCCCCGTCAGGGACAGTTTGCTGTCACACTTCCCTTCGCCCTCAGCTCTTTTTTCTTGTTTTTTAGCCCCTGTAGGAGCCCATTCTGTGACATTTGTAATGTGGTCAGATGTCCCAATGAAAGGAAGATGAGAAAGATTTGTAGGAGCCCAGCCCTCTTAAAAGTATGTAGGGGTGCAAATGCAAGGAGCCCCAGATCCAGCTCACTTGGTGCTTCTGCTGGGCTTTTATGTTGGCCAGGTTGAGTCAGTTATGAAGAGGTAGCCAAAGGAGACCTCTCCTTCCCTAGCAGGACTTTCTCTCCCTCACACTTATTACTTGCTGAAGGTAAGTGATGTATCACCAGTTAGTGTCTGTTGGAGGTTGTCAGTCTTGAATCCTGCCTGTGTCCTTTTGCATGTTTCTTAAGATTTCAGAGAGTGACTTCCATGTGCTCTGCTTCATTATATGAAGATTGGGATGTAAGGGCAAAGTCCACTTGCCACCAACTGATGACAAAGTGTTAAATGATAGCTCCTAGAAGCTTCTGGAAATTTTGAGGTCTTTCTCAAACATAGACAATGCTTGTCAAACTCTCTTTAGCCATACATGCCTGGTCAGAATTTTCTTGTTATCCACATCCTTTTTCCTGACCTTATGTTTGTTTATTTTAGTTTTTTGGTTGTTTTTTTTTCTGGTACAGAGAATTAGGGAGTGGAGATGGTGGGAGTGGGTGAGAAGAAATAGAGAAGAGGAAAGTTTTAAAATTCTGACCTTTAATGTGGTAAAAATCATGTTGACTTCATAGTCTGGATAAGCATATGTAAACGATTTATAAATCATATGAAAATAAACTTGTGGCCTTCTAGGTTTTTTCACACACTTGGATATGTGTCTTGGGAAAATCACTTTAGGGCCGGGTGACATGGCACTAGCAGTCTCTGAACTGTTGTCTTGAGGCCTTTTTGATACTGAGCATCGCCGGACAGTTTTCTCTCTCCCTGCCTGCTGCCTGCAGTGGCGTCTGTGTTTTATGCTTTGATCTTCCAACAGTAGTCATGGACATGGAGTTGCTGCCCCATTTGCTGTGGCCTTCTCCTGGGCTGGGCCATGTTCATGCTACTGTGCCTCCCCTCGTTAGTGCCTTGATGGGCCTTCTTAAGTCATGACGAGTCAGAGCTCTTGCCTCTGTGTGTGTGTTTCAAGTCTGCACAGCACTGTGCTGGACCATTTTTCCTTTCCTCCTGTAGAATGTGGACCTAGTGGGTGTTAACTGCAACTTCACAGCCTACATACATTTGCCCAGCTTGCGAATTGCTATGTTTTGAATTTGAATTTTCATTCTTCTATTCATTGATAGAAGGGATAAGAGAAGTAGTGTCCGAGAGTGGCTAAGCCATGGGGTTTTAGAGTTGGCAATCTTGGATAAGTGATTCAGTCTTTTCTTTTTTCTCTTTTTCTTTTTTTTGAGACAGTGTCTCACTGCAGCCCTGGCTAACCTGGAATTCCCTCCCGAGGTAGACCAGGCAGATCTCTACATTCTTAGTGCTGGGGTTAAAGGTGTGTTTTACCATGCATGGCCAAGTTATTCAGTCTTTATGGGTCATATTTAGTTTTATATCTATTTAAAAATTATAGTTTTTATAAATAAAAATAATAGTTTTATATCTATTTAAAAATTAGATGTAACATGGTTCTATTTTATGAAAGTTGCCTTTAAGATCAGTTGTTATGTGATGATGCATAGAACACGTCTCAGGAGTTGTCACTTAGAAGAGGTTGTCATCTGTTAGATAAGAGCGCCACCCTCCTTGTAAGATAATGATCATACCCCCATGTTATTGTGATCTCCCCAGTCTTCAGTTCCCCCGACACTGTTCCAGGCATTTAATCAGTGCTCTCCCTGTCAGGTTTGCAACTGTGCGATATGATCAAGGATCCAAGAACATTCGGAACCAGTTCATGCACCTGACAAACTACAGTGTGAATAAGAAGAGTGGAGACTATGTGAGGTACTGGCCACATCTGAGTTGCGGAGACACGGAAATCTAACAAGCTGCACTGGAGCAGAGTGTCAGAATACTTAGGTGACACCGGAGGGCCAAGTGTCTTTCCTTTTTTAAAAATTAATCTATGTATGTGGGTGTTTCGGGTGTGTGTGTACCATGTGTATTCATGGTGCCCTCGGAAACCCGAAGCAGTGTTAGATCCCCTGGAACCGGAGTTACTGATGGTTGTTAGCCACCATGTGGGTGTTGAGAATCGAATACAGGTCCTCTAGAAGCGCAGTGAGTTCTCTGAACCACTAAGCACCCTCCAGCCCCGCAAGCATCAGTTTGGAGGCACTGTTGTTGACTGCTGCCGCGGCTTCTCCGTGTCATCCTCGGCAGAAGGTCACCTCTTTCTCCCGATAATTCACACCTTTGCCATTTGTATTTCCCTACTTGACTTGGGATAAGAATTTCAATTTAGCAGTCATATGAGAAGCTTAAAATTATTTGTGTCCTTTGACACCGTGGTTCCGTTTCTGTGAATTTAACCTTCAGGATGGATGTACAGAACCAGTGGTAGAACCGTCTTTACTGTGTATTGTTTAATGGAGAAGGACATTGAGACAGTACATGCAGTAGACGCCTTGACGGAATCAATTTAGTAGCTAAAACAGTATTTTTGCTGAGAAAGGAGAAAAAGATATGTCCTGAAATGTTAACTCTTCTTCAACACAAAGTATAAGATTAGAGTAGTTAGCTTTTAGGGTTTTTACTTACTGCTTTTATGTAGCTTCTAAAATTCTCTAAAATATACTACTATGATCAGCCCAGAAAGCAGGAAAGCATTAAAGGAGCAAGGCCATCCTAGAGAAGGAACAGTGGAGGGGAGGAGCGGCACAGCTGTGTGGAAATGTTATTTTTGCCCTGTTTTCTTTCATCCAGATAATTTTGCCAGAAAGTGGAAAAATAGAAAAGAAACCCAAACAGTCACTTTCTACTCAGACTAAAAATAAGTTCCCAGCAGGTCCAAGGAAGGCAAGAAGCTGGAAACGTTGGGGTAGTTGCTGAAGTGAAAGAGGTTTCAGTGAGTGGCCCTTGACCAGCCCTGGAACTGCGTCAAGCCGCTGTGTCCCTCACTTGGAGATGAGCAGGGATGTAGCTGGAGAGGGCTCTTGAGGATTGAGAAGTCAGTGGCGAACTGCCTGGCTGCAGGGTGACACTCAAGGGAACCTGCCCCATTCACCATTTAGCTGCAGTGGGATGCCCAGTGATCTTCCTGGCACCCCAGCACCCCCTGTCACTTGTGGGACTTGAGAAGGAAAGAGACAGGAGGCTTGCTGAGTGTGTCAAACTCAGCTCTGGTCTGAAAGTGGCATCTGAGGTGGTTTGCTGGCCTCACGTGACATTTGCCTCAGACTAGATGTGTTAAATCCCATTGTTAATTTATTATAACTCTTAAACATGTCCATATTTTTTCATGACTTTCTTCACTGTTTTTTTTTTATTTTTTATTTTTTTGGAGACCAATTTCTCTGTGTAACAGCCCTGGCTGTCCTGGAACTCTCTTTATAGAAAAGGCTGGCCTCAAACTCACAGAGATCTGCCTGCCTCTGCCTCCCCAGTGCTGGGATTAAAGCGTGCACCACCATGCCTGGCTTTTCACTCATTCTTGGTGTGGAAGAATTAGCTCTCTTCTCTGCACTCTTCAGAAAAGCAAACTTCATTTTCCCTTCCTTTTAAGGAATTGATAGAAAGGGTGTCTTACAAAAGAACCGGGGAACACCAGGTGGAAATCAGCAAAGTGTTATGTTCTCTAATATACTCAAAGTACAGAAAAAGACAGGCCTCTTAGTATATGCAGCCTCAATTTCTTTCTTTTTAGTTGTGATGATCCAGAAGTGGAGGATTATGGGAACAAGTGGAGCATGAGTGCAATGCTTAGGTACCTGAAACAAGAAGGCAAGGACACAACTGGTGAGCATCACAACTCTTCCTTTTAGACTCTGCTATATATATATATTTATATATATATTATATATATATAATGTGGGGAGGTGGGTGTATGTGCATCATACCTTTTCCTTTTAGATTCTATTTTATATATATTGTGTGGGAGCTGCACGTGCACACATACACATGCACACACACACACACGCACACAGATACCTGTTGAAGCCACAAGAAGGCATCAGTTTCCCTGGAGCTGGAATTACAGGAGATTGTGAGCTATCCTACATGGGTGCTGGGGAACAAACGCAGGTCCTCTGCAAAAGCAGCCAGCTCTTACCTGCCAAGCCATCTCTCCAGCCCCGTGACTCTACTTCTTTGTATGATTTTACTGTTGTGTCTCACCAGGCCTCTTGATAATGTTGCTGAAAAGCCAGTGGGTGACTGTTGTTGTTTTCCTGTGGTTCACAGTGGAGAAGAGACTTTCTACAACCTCCCCAAAACCCTTTTCTTGTTTCTAGTTTGGAAAGCATCACTTTCTCTTTAGGCCTAGTTTATCTTCTTGAACCGTGTGCTGCTGCCTAAGATACTGTGGTGTTGTGTATGCTGCATTGCTATCTGTATTGGCTCTGAGTTCAAATCTTTGTAAGTTTGAACTCTCTCATTTTTGTTGCTGACTTGGACAGTGGGCAGGGTAGAATCTGAGCACGGGGCTTGAAGTTTAAAAGAACCCGTGCTGAGCCTTGAGCAGCATGGGAAGCAGTGTGCACAGGAGAGCAAGAGGACGAGAAGGCCCCTTCTGCAGCCCGTACCTCTGCCGCAGGCCGTCTGCATCCGTGTCCATCTCCTTGTGGCATGCCAGCCCTGTAGCACCCATTCTGAAGACTGCCATTTAGATGCTTTTTGAATGAGAACACGTGCTTTTGTAATTGCATAGTGACCTAGAATCTGCTCCTACAAACGCATGCATGCATTATAGTGTTTCTGTTTTCATTACAAAAGCTTGTTTTTGCAGCATTGATGGCCCATGTGGAAGACCTGATCATTAAGACGATAATCTCTGCTGAACTAGCTATCGCCACTGCCTGCAAGACCTTTGTCCCACACCGCAGCAGTTGTTTCGGTAAGGAGCCACCAGACGCTTGTGTTTGTGCGGAGGGTCTCGGGATTCTCAGATAATGGGGCTCAGTGAGTCTGTAGGAGTCAGGGACACATCCTGGGTTTGTGTCCTTAAGCTCATAGAGTAGATGCAGATCCTCCCCAGAGGCCAGTGGTGAGTTTTCACTGGAATCTCTGGAGGAGGAACTCGCTTCCAATGTGGGAACGGGGATTGAAACTGAAGTGTGATTCTCTCCGTCAGAGTACACTCAGAAAAAGTCTGCAATGGGCTGCTCAGGAATCCAGCTCTAACAAATATATTCCAGAGCTCTCTGGCAGCCAGACTGGGAACAGATCCAAGAAGCTCTGGCTGGTACCAGTGTGTGCTTTCTCCCATTTTCCAAGGACTCCTCCTTTTAGTTTTAGCCTTCTTCCTAGTGGATTCCTCCTCCCCTTCTTTCTCCTGCTAGTTTTCCTTCTCCCCTCCCCTCCCCTTCTGTTTCACTCTATCTTTTGATTGTGCAGAGATAATGTAGAAAGGGAAACCTCTGACCTCTTGACCCACTAGCTGTGTGTGTCACACCAAGGTGGCCTTGGTGCGTCTGCTTTCTCTATGGATAAGAACTTGGTTTTAGTAGCCAGGATAAAAGCCCATAGGGCCAGGTAGGCTTTGGGCACGTGTTGGACCTTGGGAATAGAATACACATAATTATTGATATAGTGATGCTAGTTAAAGTGATAGTAAGGACAGAGGTGGTGTGGCTTGCTTAGGGGGCTAGAGGGTAGGGAAATAAAGACCATGGTCCCTAGAGTCTGGCAGCCTGGATTTGAGACCTGTTTGCATTCATTTCTGGTTGGGTGATTTTCAGCAAGTTATCCTGATTCTCATTTTCTAGACTCTTAAGTGACAGCCATAATGATACCTCCCTCCTAAGAATACTGTAACCACTGAGACAATGTAAGCAAAGAAAGCACTTGGCACCATGTCTGGCCCTTAAGTTGTACTTAATAAAAATTACTTTTATTAATTTTGTAATTAGACACTAATTCTTTTGTTTTGTTTTGTTTCGAGACAGGGTTTTACTGTAGCTTTGGAGCCTGCCCTGGAACTAGTTCTTATAGACCAGGTTGGCCTTGAACTCACAGAGATCGGCCTGCCTCTGCCTCCTGAGTGCTGGGATTAAAGGCGTGCGCCACCACCGCCTGCCTTAGACACTAATTCTTGATCTCTTTAATAGATTATAGCAGGATGTATTGGACTGATGCTCAAGTAGGAGAACTGTTGAGACTGAATGGAAGGTGCAGGCAGTCAGGATCTGGAACTATAGAGCAAAATAAAAGATGGCAGTGTCTTTAGAAGCAGGCCTTTGGGAGGGGAGTGCACAGTGTCCACAGGTTCTGGGTCTGGCTAGAAAGCCCCCTTGTCTGCCTCTCATTCTCCCATTCCCTTAAATCCACTTCAGTCCGCTGCTTTTCTGAAGCCTTGCTGAGCACAGGGCCTCGTCGTGTCCTTCTGTGCGTGATGGGGCGAGGTCGATCGGTAATTAAAAATCAACCAGACTAGCTTAATATAAAAGATACAGCTTTAATAAACAGAAGGAAAACTTACACTAGAGTCCCAACGGCCGGCCCGAGAACGCAGAGAAGGCGGGGAAGTGCACCCGCCAGGTTTATAGGTAAATTTTTGCCTTAGGGCAACACGCCCCATGGACAAAATGTGATTGGCTGAACTCCCCTATCATGTGCATGCTTTAGGATGCTTTTCCAGAAGTCTCTGAGTTTATCTTCTTGAATTCTTAAGCCGTCTACCTTTCTATCTCATCAGAGTGCCGGGGACCTTCTCTAACTCTACCTCTGTGTTTAATTTACCTTGCGGCTGTACTCCCTCCAATTTTCTCATGTTACTTTACCTAGTAGGCCACCAACATCCTTCCAGGCAAAGCCAAGCATCATTTCTTTGGTGGTCTTATTTTTTTCTAACTCTTCCTAGTGAATGTTAGACTCCCACCCTGTAGCTCCAGCACCCTGTTCATGCCTCTGCAGTGTCTCCTGCGTGTCCTCTGGTATCATTTATGTGTGTGTCTCTTCTAATGGAGTGGACGCTCTTTGACGATGGCCATCATGGTGTCACCGTTGGCTTGTTCCTCTCATGCAGAGCAGCATCTTGTGCTCATAGAGAATGTTGGCAAATGTTTGCTGAATGAATGCTTGGTGCTTGTTTTCCTGACTTTTTGGTGGCTTAGCAATAAGCTTTTTAGTGGATCTGATTTGGTAAGGCTTGCGACTCTCAGAATTGTTAGTCTGTTTGAGGATGGAGGTGGGAGCTAACAGAACAGGACTCCAGCTGTTGAAACCTTTCAAGATTAAATATGTTTCCTTTCCAGCTCTGCTTGCCTCTCTGTTGGTAAATTTCTCATGGCCCCTGATATATTAAAAAAACAAAAACAAGATAAAACAAAACATTTTGTTCTAAGTAGCTAATCCTGAAGGCTTTTCTGGGTGTTTCTTTTCCTATCTTGTTTTGTAACCTGATTGCCTTTTGGAAACTTAGAAATGGTTTTACAGAACTCCATATGAAAGACGCGCAGCAACTCTCTCTGACTCAGAAATATCCCAAGGTCAATCAGCCAGGGTCTCCTCTCCCCTTTCCTGTCCTGGTCCAGCTCCAATACACTCAAGGCATCTGGAGTTTTTTAAGTTGTTGACTGTCTCCTTGGCTTTTGTGGTTCTAATTCCACTTCCTGTCAGCCCTGGGATTCTGTGTGCTTCATTAACCCCCTTGTGGGATGTGATTTTGTATATTTGTATGTATTTGTGTGAATCCCTTTGCTTCCCCCTGACTCTTAGCCTCCCCTGGGGTTCTCATGGTAAGGAGTCACTTTGTGTGTGTCAGGGGGACCAGGACTTGAGAGCTTCCCAGAAGCTTTTGGCTTGGGGAGAGCACTCATACTTTTAGGGAAACAGAATGCAGAGGTGGGTTTCCCTCTATTCTTTTGCTAGTCATTTCTGGCCTTTCATCTATAGACTATTGCCAGAAGCATTGTGTTACGGGGGTTTCTGCCCTGTGAGTTCTTCCCCCTGCCGCCTGTACTGTTGCAGGTACCTTCCCCATCCCCCGTCAGCACTTTGTTTGCACATGTCACTCTTTTCCAGGCCCAGCTGCATGCTGGGCAGAGATTAGTACTGCAACGGTGCATTACTGTCAACAGTTTGTTCTTCTCAAACTCAGTTTGCCCTGAGCTGCTGCTGTGTTCATAAGTCTGCATTGTCTCGTTACTACCTATGTTTCAACCGTAGCAGGATTTAATGATATTTTGTAAGCTTGTATACCCAAAAGAAGATGGAGACCCTGAGAAATTAGCCCTTATCTCAGGTTCTAGACTTAGGGAGTAAAAGAACTTGAATGAAAGAGACTCTGTCTGGAAAACAGGGGCCTCAGAGGATGAGTCTTGGCAATCTTCCATCTTGATCATAGGACTTCAATTATATGATTTTTGGATGCCTCCCCCAATAAAACATGTTTCTAACAGTCAAATTTTACTGCCTTCCATGATTGTGAAAATGTGGTACAATGTGAACTAATATGCTTCAATGGCAACTCTTTAAATATGCTAAGGAAATTGGCGCTGCAAAATTACTGACTATGAGAACAACTTTTTTTTTGGCCATTTAAAGAAAAACCAAACAGCCAAAACCAACAGGATGTTAGCTGTCTTTCAAAGATGTTGCTGCTGACAGTGGTTTAGTGTTTGTTTGTGAGAACGGCTGAAGCGATGGGCTCTGACCCTGGTCCTCCAGTGTGGGATCATGTGGACCACACGCTGATGAAAAGAGTCAGTAGATGTCTGCTGGAAACCAGTATGCTCAGGATGCCTCCCTTAAGTGAGATCTGGTTTAGTTTCCGTTACCTCTGCTCTTGACCATTTTTCAGGGTAAGGCCATGCTCTTTGAAAGGAAAGTGTCCATAAGTGATTGTCAGAGGGCTGCAGGAAGGGAGCATGCTGTCTCCGTTATGCAGACCTCTCCACCAACAGTAAAGGAGTGGAAGGCAGGGGCGGTTTGCAAGGTAAGCCCCTCTTAGTTTATCTCTAGCTCCAGTTCAGATGGGAAGGGTGTTTCCTAAGAGGCTGCTGTTTGTCCCCAGCAGTGTTGGTACTTACTCCCAGCCATGTGTCGTAAACCCGTGGTTTATGACCAGGGGAAAGAGTTAGTAAGCTTAAGTAAGTTGTCTTGGGTCCTGTGGCTAATAAATGGCAAGGCCAGGTTTGAGGCCAGCTATCTGGCCCTTTTCTCCCACATCAAGACAAGTCTGATGATCCACTCCTTTTGGCATACCTCACATCCTGGATTCTCCCGTGCTGTCCTGTAACTAGATCTCAGGAACAATGACATCATCTTTTCTAGCAGATCAGACTTGGAAAAGAACACAGTGCCCAGGCCTAGGTCCTCCTTTTAGACCTACCATTCCAGGCAGTAGCTAGGTACCACAGTGACTTCAGGGTTGAGTTAACAAGTTAACACTTCTCTTACTCAGTTCATTCTCCTGTGTGATCTTGCTCTACTTTTTTCCAGAGTTTTCTTTTGGACCTATTCTAAAGAATTTCACTTTGATTTTAAACTCGAATCCTAAGCTAAGGTGAAAAGCATTTCTGTTATAGAAGAGGATCTCAGTGACAGTGGACACCGGTCAGTCCCGCTCTTTTCCATTGCCCAGGGACTGTAGCTTCAGCCAGGCTCTTGTTTCTGGGGAGGCTGAGTACATTGCCTCCCAAAGAGACACTGTCCGGTATCTTTAGTGATCTCAGGTCTCCACGGGAATATTTTTCTACCTATTTCCCACTCCCCCTTCTTCAAAAGCCATCTTTTATCAGATTTTTCCTTAATGTATCTTTAATAAATTTTCCTCAATGAGAATTTCTGTTTATTTTTGGCAGGTGGTTCTTCTGTTACTTCTATGCCAAATCTTCTCTTTACAGTGCACTAAGTAAATTTATTTTCTTTCTTAAAAAAGTGAGTCCTTGTCATTTTTGTGACTGGTAGCTTTGTTGTGACTATGTAGTTAAGCCAGGAAAAATCAGCTATTTGTTGGGTTTGACTTACACATAATTTTCTTATTTCACCCTTAGTAGTTCTTAATTACTGTATGCATGCGTCAGTGTGCTCGCACATCCGTCCGTCCACGTATGCCTGCGTATACACGTGAACATCTGTGTGGAAGCCAGATGTCTGTGTTTGGTACCCTCCTTAGTTGCTGTCCACTTTTTCTTTTATTTTATTACTGTTCTTTGAACAAAATCTTTGACCGAACCTGGAATTCACTGTGTCAGCTAGCCAGCAGGTCCCGGAGATCCTTCAGTCTCTGCCTCCCCAGTACAGGGCTCAGAGGCGTATGTTGTCGTGACTGTCTTTGTCCATGGGTGCTGGGAATCTGAACTCAAGCTCTTGAAGAACATTTTATTAACTGAACTATCTCCCTTGCCCTTTGTTTCTTAATATATTTCCTAAATACTATACTTATGGAGCAGATTACTTCTGCCGTAAGTGTCTGTTGCTGTGATAAACACCATGACCAGAAGCAGCCTGAGGAGAGCAGGGTTTATTCACCTAACGGTCTGTATCACAGTCCTTCCCTGAAGGAGTTAGGACAAGAACCCAAGGCAGGAACTGAAGCAGAAGCCATGGGGAGCACTGCTTCTTGGCTTGCTCCTCATGCCCCTGTCAGCCTGCATTCTTATACAACCCAAGACCGCCTGCCTGGGGTCACACTCCCCCCCATCAGTCATCTATCAGGAAAACACATCACAGGCTTGCCCATGGAAGAGTTTATTGGGGAACATTTTCTATATTGAAGTTTCCTCTTCCAAAATGACTTGTGCTTTTGACAAGCTGGCGAACAATCTAGTACACTTGATCTAAAATGATAAATGAGATGTGGCACCTGCCCTCCAGAGAGGAGGACTCGGAGATGAAGTGATAAAAGACAGTTCACATAGTGGAGTGACTGTAATACTCTTAGAATATACAAATACCACTACCACTTGGCCTAGGGGAGCCAGAAAATTACGCCCTAACAGAGGGAATATGATATGCAAACTGTAGAGAGTTAGGGCAGGAGCTGGCAGTTTTCCCTCTCCTAGACAGCATCTTCTAGACAGACGTTCACTCTCCCTCTTCCCCATTCTCATTGACAACTAGAAAAATGACTCAGGAGATAAGAGGTACTTGGGTAGTGTACAGTAACCATGTGACCAGGTATTTCCACTTGTAGGTATTTATCCAGGAGAAAGGAAACTTTATGTCCACACAGTCCCTGCTCACAAATGTTGATACTTTATTCATAATGACCCCAAATTGGAAACAGTCAAAATACCTACCAACTGTTAAATGGATAAATTGTGGTATGTCCATATTATGAAATACTACATTGGAATTAAAAGAAAAGAACTACACTTTGATTATGTAACAAAATAGATATGTTTTAGAAGATGCCATGTGAAAGAAACTACTCTCAAAAGACTATAGACTATGCTTATTACATTTTTTACTTTCTAGAAAAGAAAAAAGTAAGCAAAATCCTGTTGCTGGAAGATGAGGCAGGTGAGGGTTGACTACAGAGAGGCACAGGGTACATCTGTAGTAAGATTTGTATTGCGATTGAGGTCAGGTTGAAACAACTGTATGCTTTTCAGAATTCATCAAATCGTTCACTTTAAAGGGGTGAATTTTATTCCAAATAAATTATACCTCAGTACCTCTACCTTAAAAGGAACTACTGATAGATATTCAGAAAACATAGCAAATATAATACAAGAAGCTAGACTCAAATGAGTATATACTATATGGTTTCCATTTATGAATTCTAGAATAGAATTGATAGTGGAAAGAATTAAGAGTAAATGGTTGTCAGGGATGAGGCAGGAGCAAGCTGTCTATCGGGAAGAGGCTTGAGGAATCTTCTGGGGTGATTGATGGGTGTGCTCGGTGTATCCCTTGATAGGACTGAGGGTTGTATGGATTTAACCAATTCCAGGATTCATCAATCTGAATCTTTTAAGACTCACCCATCTCATCGTGTGTAAATTATTCCTCATAAGGGAGTAGAAATGATTGGCTTGATTAAAGAGAAAGGTACCTGTTGAGCTGGTAGTTTCGCGAGTTCAATCTGATACATAAGCTGTCCTTTCGCCCCCACTCCCTACTCCTGAGCACAGCCTTCTTAGGGTAATTGTACCCGGCACGCCGCTGCCATGCTTTCATAGAGCAATGCGCACTTCTCCCGCTCTCACGTGATTGTGGGCTCAAGTCTGGGCTATGTAGTTAGATGAGGCTTGGTTGACCTTAGAACTTGGCATGCTTTGTGGGTATGGTTATCACAGGAGTACGTTGGTTTAGCACTGTGAAAGTGATTTTCTCACTTTAAGATATGTTTTTCTTTTCCAAGAATATTTTTTCTCAGACTTCAGCTTAATGTGAGCTTTTGGAATTTTTCTCTGAAGGGGATGAAATGATTAAGTGTGATTGCTGAGTGTTAAAATAGTGGCTTTTGTTGATTGTTGATCCGCCTTACACTGGGCTTCCTTTGTGGCTTGTTCTTTCTACAGACTGTATCAGTATGTGCACCAGTTGTTACTGTCAACATGTTCTTCATGCCTATTAAATATTACTTTATGAAATAGCTGAATCTTTGCTTCTGCTCTCAAAAGCTGAAGGAAATATTTTGTATGCGATAGTGTGTCTTGCTTATATAATGCTGCACAACATCCAGAATATACAGTTTTCCTTCCTTCCATCCATCCATCCATCCATCCATCCATCCATCCATCTTTTTCTCTAATTTACTTTCTCTCTCCTTCCCCCTCCCTCCTCCTTCCCCCTTCCTTTACTCTATCCCTCTTTCTTTATTTTGTCTTGATGTGTAGCCCAAACTCAACATCCAACTCATGATCTTCTTGCCTCAGCCTCCCGAATGCTGTGATTGCACATGTATGCTAGCATATCTGCTAAGGGGTTTTCCTTTTAAAATGTCTCATTTAAACTGGGCAGTGGTAGCACACACCTTTAATTCCAGCACTCAGGAGGCGGAGGCAGGCAGATCTCTGAGTTCGAGACCACCCTGATAAGAGGTAGTTCCAAGACAAGCTCCAAAGCTACAGAGAAACCTTGTCTCAAAAAATCAAAAAAAAAAAAAAAAAAGAAAGAAAGAAAGAAAGAAACAAACAAACAAAGAAAGTCTCATTTAGAGCTACATGACAAAATCTTTTTATCAGATTAAGGTGATAACGAGATTATTGTTGCTCCTGAAGACTAGGCAAGCTATTAAGAAGATTGCAATGTCTGTAAAAGTATGAATTTGTTATTAAAAGAACAACTGAAGGAGCTTCCTTTTCTTTACATCTTAAAATAAGATTTATATAGTTATAGAACTGTATGATGTGCCAAACCTTTATGTTTTTTAAATTGGTTTTGCAAATTAAATGGAATTCTATATAAGCGTTTACTATGGAAACAGACATATTCATGAAAACACTAGAATATCCCGATCTAGCTGAGTATGGAAGTATCTGCCTGTAATCTCAGCACCTGGAAGCTGAGGCAGGAGGATCATGAGTTAGAGGTTCACCTAGGTTGCATGACAAGACCTATTTCAAGCAAACAAAAAGGAATGTGCATGTCTGTTTGACTTATGCAGTAGAAATAGACTATAGCCTGTGTGTAACTCCAGTACCTGCAGTGAGTGACCGCTGAATAGAGAAAGGGAGCCTGAAGGATGTCTCTTAGGCTGAAGTGCCATCCCCACGCCACAGAACGGGCTCTGCAGATCCTGTCCTAGGCCTCTTGGTGCTGCATTATAGCTGTAGATTTTTGTGTTCTACAGTATATATTTCTAGTTTTTCAAAAGATTAAGGAGTGTAAAGATTCTTGAAACATGGTCAGTTATAGCTGTGCATTTCTAGAAGGCCCTGCTTGTTCCTCTGTGTGAGAGCTCCGAAGTAGCAGTTTTTCTCTTGGGGAGGAGATGCAGGTGGTGATTTGTTTGAGTGTCACTGGGCATGGTGTCAGAAGTACATTTGGAGCATGCATACTAAGGGCTGTGTGCCCTGTTACTCCTGTTGTGAGGCTCTCACTAGGAAGACTCGGAGGGCTCCAGGCTAGCCTCGCACATCCCTGGATTCTATAAGTAAAACCAAGATTCGAGAAGAGGTGCCTGGTTGGTATTACCTAGCTTCTCGCCTTAGTTGGGGAGGTAGAGGAGTAGAATCAACAAAAAAATCCAGGATCCATGGAAACTTGGTCTTTGGCTCCTTCCTTTCCTTGAATAGTACTAGTGGTACAGGATAGCTCGTCACACCCTGTGTCGCCAGCTGCCTGCCTTCTGCGTCAGGCTGTGTGTTTTACTTTTTCTTTTCAAAAAGAAATTGAAACTGTAGGCGAGGGGAAAGAGTAAGTACACTTTCCATTTGGATGCCTTCTGAACTGGGCTGTGGTGAAGGACCTGTGCCTGCTGCTCTGGGGTGGGAGCTTCAGTTTTCAGAGCGTGGCGGGCAGGTGGTAGAGGAAGCCAGCTCAGAACATGCCCAGTGTGGCGTTCATAACAGGTGGTCTTGCTTTGTTCCTTCTCTCACCTTCCAGCCGTCAGCACAGTGGGATCGCGTGTGTTGTCTCATTGCATAGAACCCAGGAACAGCAGTAGTGTGTTGGAGTACTTAGTGTTCCTTCCAACTGTTCTTCGAAGGAGACTAACTTTTCTTGAACTTAAGGATCTGTGCTTATTGCTTACACTCAGTGAGTTTCTAGGCCTCGGGTGGGAGTTGAGTGATTGTTGCATAGAAAATGATCTTACATGTTGTATTGTATTTCCAGAACTGTATGGCTTTGATGTGCTCATAGATAATACTCTGAAGCCATGGTTATTGGAAGTGAATCTCTCCCCTTCTTTGGCCTGGTAAGTCAGTTCTGTCAACGAAAAACAAGACATGCACATGCCACTAAAACGTGTTTTTTTGTTTTTGTTTTTTTTTTTTTTTTGGAGGGCGATACTATTTCTCTTTTGGTAAAAGACTTTCCTTTTACACGGTGATGGTTAAACTTAAAAATTAGATGGTTTATGGTATGTTATCAAACCTCTGTGAGAGTGAGTTTCCCAGTCGGTTTGCCATATATATTTGGCTTCTTAAGGATCTTTCATATTTTGACTTTTAACATTTTTTAAGATGCTCAGATAAGACTCTGTCTATTATTCCATCTTGTTTGTGTTACTAAACCACTTGAAACATGGATAACAAGTTACTTCATTACACTGGAAAGAGGAATAGTCTCAAGAAAATATGCTGACAGATATCCCAAACTGAAAATAGAGTGTATACAAAATGTACTTCTCATTAGAGAACATGAATATGAAAGTAATAGCGATTGGTTTCTGCATCATCCCATATATACTCATAACATCTCAGAATTCCAGTCCTCTGATGTGTACTCACCTCTGCAGCTTTGAAGTTATAACAGCCTGAGCAGACCTAAATTAACAAAACAAAAACAAAAGCAGCTACTTCTTTATCCAAGCCATGTTCTTCAGTTTGGTGTTCCTAAAGAACTGACGCTCGGGGAAGGTGTAGACTTTACCGTTGAATTCATGGCTGCCCCTCAGCAGACCAGCCTGCTGCAGTCAGACTCTGCCTTTGCTGTTGTTCCCCAGCTCTGTAGATGCTCTGCTAAAGTGACCCGAATACCCTCAGGTGGTGCACCGCCTTTGCTGCCGTGGATTTCCCCCGGAGTCTGGCGGACTGTAGCGGTGTAAAGCTGTGCCTATCAGAGTGCTCTCTTTGCTCGGTTTGGTGGCCTGGTGTCTACCCAAGGCTAATGTCTAAAGCGTTTAACAATCTTAGAGTTACAAAAATAAAATAAATTCTGTTTTTTAGAAGGGAAGAAATATATTTTTCATTACCCAGGAAGACCCTGCTTACATCTGCAGCGACAGAATTTCTACTAGCTGTGTGCTTTTCTAAACAGAAATCCCTAGAGGTTTCTGCCAGAGACCACCCAGCTGCGGAGCTTTTAAGGATGAGAGATTGGCTGAATGCCAAGTCATCAACTAAAGCCATGTTGACTCCTTGGTAGAGTGGAGATTTGGCTCACGTCAGGTGTGACGTGTGCAGCCGGGCAGTGCCTTCAGTTGTTAGCGCTGCCCTTTGTCCAGTCAGCCCTTTCTTCATTGCCCAGGGAAGTACAAGTGCCAATGTCACACATCCCAGAGGAGCACAGTGGAGCCAGCAGCAAGAGCAGAGTGGGTCCTGGAGACACACCAAAGCCCCAGGGTACCCCTCTCCACAGGAAGGCCTCTTGGTTTTGGTCTACACTGTTTCAGTGTTCACCTGGGCTGCTGCTTCCTCTGATGGTGAGATGGCGGTAGGGCTTGCTTGGGTCTTTTTACCCTATTTACAAGCACGCCTAAAGAGCAGGAGTTAGCCCAGAAAATGAAGACTTCTGCAAAGTATCAAGGTGGCCAAACTGTCTTTCTTGTCTTGCATGTGAATGTAGGCAAACGATGAATTACTACGACGTGATTTGAATGTAGGGCCCTCATAAAAGTACAAGTTCACTGACAATCAAGGCCTGAACCCCACAATGATAATGAAGCAATAGCCCTGGCTTGCTCAAAACTTGAATTGCACAAGATCTGGAGTAAAAGATTCCATGTCAGGGAATCAATGCATTGATGCTGGGGCCTGCCTTACAGAGGATGAGTTTCACACAAGGCTTGTATTCTGTTATTCTCCACCCAAATTTCTCTCCCCTTTTCTGTCAATTTGTTGTGCTGCGCTGCTTCTCGGATGTTTGGAAACTGTGCTGTACTGGGACCCATGATGAGGCAGCTCTTCTGTTAGCCTACAAAGCGATCCATTGCCCCTTTCTTTCTCTGTTCTCTTAGTGATGCACCGCTGGACCTCAAGATTAAAGCCAGTATGATCTCAGATATGTTCACTGTTGTAGGTAAGTAGCAGTGTGTTCTGAACTGGACTCTCAAAAAATTAACCAGAGCTTCCATTTGCCAGGCTCCAGCTGTAGGTGTTGCCAACTGGCAGTTCCTAAGCCATGCTGAATGTTTTGTACTAAAAAATTATATTTTCAGGGAAGTGTTTATATGTTTCTACTCCCCCTGGCTCCATCCTGTCCCGAGGCTGAACCACAACTAAGGCTGAGACCTGGGGCATGGGAATTATGAGCAGAGGCAGAGAATTAAGCAAAGATCTGCAGAGAGTATATTTTTCTCCAAGCTGGGAAAGTGAAACCCACCGAAGAAGCCTTGTTACAAAGGAGACCGGCTATATTTCTCCTAGACAGTCTCTGCTGGCTTCAACATGATCCCTTCTGCAGTATTATAGCCAAAGCAGCCTGAGGAAGAAATCCCATTTTAAGTAGATAAGCCAGAACTTTGAAATGGAGATGGGCAGTCAGGTGGGTATGACGTGGCTTTATTATTGGGTTTTAAAAATTTCCCAAAAAGACACAATGAAATCCATTTAATGTGAACTAGTACTCATACCCGCTGATGCTGTAAAACTTAGCAACTCTCTTTTTATTTTTTTAATGTATTTTTTTTATTTTACATCCTGATCATAGTTTCCTCCCTCCTCTCCTCCCAATCTTTCCCCATGACCTCTCCCCTCTGTCACCAGCACCCGCCCCGCCCCACCCCAGTCCCAATTTCTGTTTAGAAAAGGGCAGTCCTCCCATGGATATCAACAAAACATGGCAGATCAAGTTGCAGTAAGAGGCAGCATCTCCCCTTGTATTGAGACTGGGCAAGGCGACCCAGTATTTGGGAACAGAGTCCCAAATGCCAGCAAAAGAGTCAAAGACAGCGCCTGCTCCCACTGTTAGGAGTCCTACGAGAAGACCAAGCTATACAACTGTCCCATATAAGCAGAGGATCTAGGTCAGTCCCATGCAGGCTCCCTGGTTGTAGTTGATACTCTGAGCCCCTACAAGCTCAGGTTAGTTAGTGATGTGGGCTTTCTCATGATGTCCTTGATCCCTCTGGCTCCTACTGTCCTCTTCCTTCCCTCCCTCCCTCCCTCTCTTCCTCCCTCCCTCCCTCTCATCAGCAGGATTCCCGAAGCTCTGGCTAATGTTTGACTGTGGTTCTTTGCATCTGTTTCTGTCAGTTACTGGATGAAGCCTCTCTGATGACATTTGGGCTGGGGACCAGTCTATGATTTAGCAGAATATTATTAGACATCATTACACTGATTTTTTTTTTTTCTCCAGTGGTGTTTGGTTCTATCCCAGGTCTCTGTACTATCCAGCCTCTGGGTCCTGGTGCTCCAGGCAGTGTCAGGGGTGGGCTCACTCTCATGGCATGGGTCTCAGGCTGAACCAGTCATTGGTTGATTATCCTTACTTCAGCACATCCCATAGACAGGATAGACTGTAAGTCGAAGGTTATGTGGCTGGGTGGTTTTCCACTCCCTCCATTACCTGGGCACAGGAGATGGGCCAGTTCATGCTTCCTATTCGCTATTGCAGGACCCTTTGCTGTGTGGTCAGCTTTCTAGATTCCTGTGAGTTTTCCATGCACCAGGTTTCAACCAAACCCCCAAATAGTCCCCTGCTTTCCAGTCGTCTCTTTCAGTACTGTCCCTTTACCCCCTCTCTACCTGATCCCTCATGCTCCCATCCCCACCTGCCCCCAGTCCACCCACAAAATCTCTTCTGTCCCCACTTGAGCTCTCCTTGTTATCTGGACTCTCTGGGCCTATGGTTTGTAGCATCTTCTTTTTGGTGGAGAATCTAGTTCTTTTAGGAAAGACATGTAATTAGTGGAAATTCTGTTTATTTTTTTCTTTTTTTTTGTCAGAAAAAATCTAAAGAAAAAATCTGTTTTTACAGTGACGCATGCAATTTACCAATAATATAAAAACCATATAATTCATGATTTAGGCCAAAATCTGTTTTCCTTCTTGGGAATCATGACCAAGTATAATTACTTTATAGTTGACTATTACAATAATTAATTAGAGCTGGGTGCTCACATCCTAGCACTTGGAAGGTAGAGGAAGGAGACTCTGAGGTTGAGGCTAGCCTGGTCTACAGAGTGAGTTCAGGATAGCCAAGGTTACCCAGAGAAACCCTGTTTTGAAAAACAATAATAATAATATTGTGTTGAGTGCAAAAATGCTAATTATGTATTTTTCTAGAAAAATAGATATAACAGAACATATTTTTAAGCTGTAGATAATCCTAAAGCCCATTGCAGAAGTTGGAAAATTCCCAGCAGATTGTGGCCGGACATGATGACATGCTTGCTATGAACTCTTCTGGCAAAAGCTTTGTTTCCCCTCTAGTCGCCTTCCGGAAAGTTAGTTAAAAAACACAGCAAGCAAGCTTTTCTTTTATGAAAAGATTTTTATGAAAAACTATAGGTTTCACAAAGATGACTTGTTCATTTGTTTGAGATTTTTCAAAGCCACATCTCTGTCAATTGAGATTGCACTTAGTTCCTTAGTCTGCTTCCCTCTGTGAGGTTAGATTAAAGGTACTTGAACCAAACCAAACAGGCTCCTTTCTTAGAAAAGGGCAGCTCTTAATACTGCTCATTCCCCATCCAGGATTTGTGTGCCAAGATCCTGCACAGCGGGCATCCAACCGGTCAATTTATCCCACCTTTGAGTCTTCCAGGCGGAACCCTTTTCAGAAACCTCAGGTAAGCAATTTGAGGAGCATGAAGCCAAAGAAGGCTTGCTGGGGAGTGACCGCTGATGAAATGAGGGAGCTGAAGTGCTGGTTGGGAGGTCACTCAGGGCAGGAGAATTTGGGGATGTGTTTTGTGGCTGTCTTGATGCTTTTACCTGCTTTCTAACAGGGTCACTCCTTTTTTTTGTTCTGTCTTTTCTCTCTTTACTACCCTTTCTTCTCCCTTCCAAGCTCACCGTCTCTCCCCTCAGATTGCCATACTGGGGCCTGTTAATTCTTAAGCATGACTAGGCTTTTTCTAATCTTCAGACTAGTTCTGTAAAGATGCTCCATTGAAACAGTGTGTCCCCTTTCCTCTTTTTGGAGGGACCCTCAGTGCTCATGAGCTCTGATTAGAGCTAAAGTAACTAGCCAAAGAAGCTGGCTAATCAGAAGCATCATTTGGCCAAGTACTGCTCCAGCCTCTGTGCACTCTGGTTCTGGGTGTGCTCATTCAGTGTGCTATCCGTCTGCATGCTTGAGTACAGCCACTTAGTGTTTCTTCTTACTAAATGAAGCTCTGCCCACCTCTTCTCCGCCCATCTGGTTTGACTCCCTGGCCTACTCAAGCGTTGGAACTACTTTTATAATCCAGCCTATCTTTAAGGACCTCTAGTATCCTCAGAGATAGTATAAGGACACCACATTTACCTTGTTTTCAGTGTATTGTTTTACATTCATTGATTGTGGCCTTTAAATTGTCCTGTGCTCCTCCACCATAAGCACTGCTGATGGCGTCCCCTCCTCTCCCTCTCCACTGTCCCTCTCCTCTCCTTTTCATCTCTCTCTTCCTCCACTTCATCCTTCCATTCTTCCTCTTCATCCATTGCTCATGGATCTCACGGAGAGCGATGCTGTGTCAGATACCCTCACACTGACATGTTTTCCACAGTCTTGTATGCAGGCAGGTAGTGTGAAGAAGGGACAGTAGGCAACTACAAGGCAGTGATGTGCCAGGCTAACTGAGGAGCGGAGGCCTCCCATCCCAGGGGTGGCAGGCTGATGAGGATAATCTGGCTGATGACTGTCAGCCCCAGCGTGGGCAAATAGGGTCAAGGGCCTCCTGTTATCAGAGAAACCAGAAATGATTTTTTTGTTTGTTTGTTTTAATGTTGACAGTTAGCTCAGTCAAACAAAACTAAAGCACTGCAAACCAAACCTAACATGCCTTTGATCTGGAGTGGGTCCCTGGCTGCCTGTCAGTCAGAGTGTCCTGCTCTGGGATGATTCCCTAGGTGGTGTGCTGTGGAGCATGATGTGCTGTATTACAAGAGGTATTGTCTCAGATTAGAAAGACAGCCAGACATCAGAGTCATACTTGCTCAAGAGCATCCTCACAGATCAAAGAAAAGGTAGAAAATTATTAACCTCGGTATAGTGGGGAGACTTAGGCAGTCGCATTCCTGTACTAATTGTTCCTTGCACGGTTCCTAGACAGAGTTGCACACTTAGAGCTGTGAATATTTCTCCTGGTTTGGATATGATTTCTGCCAAGCTTTTTTTCTAGGGATAGCAGCATTATAATCTTGAAGGAATGGATCTATGCCTTCACTTGCCAGTCAGCTTTTATTGGCTATTCTCTGAAAATCACCAAAAATCTACCCAATATGTGTTATGCCTACTGGTAGGCAGTGGCATGACGTCATCAATAAGCAGCCTTGGGTGATATATACAGTGTACTGTATGAGACAGGTTTGTCAGGCAGGCTTGTTCACTCAGGGTCTTCAGTATCTAACAGTAATGAGAAGTTGAAGTTGGAATACAAAGAATAGGAAGACAACAGTATTGAAGAGGAATATCCTCACTTTTCAGCCAAGGGCAGGGCTCTTGCATGTGGTCTGTGCTTTCTGATGTCTTAGATGCAGGGAATGGAGAGCTATAGGCCTATTAGGAAAAGGTAGGACTTTATCCCTTTGCTTTTGTCTCTTACAGCATCCATTATCCGCATAGGTTAGCAAAAATCACACAGGTCCATTCTGGGTCATTTGGAGACTTGACTCAGTTTTAATTCCCATTTCTCAAATAGAAAACCTTTTAGCTTTGGACTTTGGCAGTACATGTAGATTGTGAACCTGCTCTTTGTATGATTTGAGGACACAAAACAAATGCCTGGGGAGAAATCTCCTTGGTTATAGACAATGAGAACAGAGGACACAGTTGCTTGGGGTCATCAGTTCCCAAGGATGATTATGCTGTGGTAAAGGTAGTAGAATTGCAATGATGAGCAGAGCTTATCCATTATTTTGCCCAAAATATTCTGGAAAGAAAATACTAAAATTCACAGAGGCGCTGTCCCTGGTTCAGGTGTCTTAGGAAGCATGCCACTCCAGCGGCTTAGTGTTAGCGTTCTTTTCACACTGAGTCTTGGGTTTATTTGCATTTTTTTCACAGCTGCTACTTGATATGTGCAGCGATTTGTAACTGAATTTAGATGCCTGCCAGAATTAGATGTGACCTTTACAATAAGACAGATGTTTTTCCGCCATGAGCAACTTTTGCTCCTTTACTGTCTGTATAAGCAGTTTTTGAAATTGATTGCCATTGTCTTGGCGTTGCTCAGTTTGGGACTTTGGCACCATTTTGCTGCAGTGTGTTAAATTGGAGGTCATCTCTTCTCTCTGCTCAGAGGCTCAGGTTGTTCCCACTGGTGCGCAGCAGGAAGCTCTGCTGCAGTTATCCTAGCATCCTCTTCTCTGGTGCGTTTTCTAAACTGGAAGCCTGAATGGCAGCTTCCTGAACTCCTGCTTCCAATAGATTATTTATATGGCTAAGAAAAGTCCTAAGAGTGTCTAGTGTTGTGTTTGGTTCTATAATGTGTATTTGGTCACATAGATGGTAGAATTCAAAACTCTACAGAATGTAATGTTTCATATTATTAGTAATTATCTAAATATTATTTGCTGCCCGTAGTAAAATACAAAGACCAAATAACCAACCAGACAAAGAGCCTACATTCTAAATAGCACTTAACTAATCCATATGATGTAAGCATTGAGAACATTGCATGGTGTGCTGGTTTGGTTTCAGTGTCCTTATGTGTAATTCCTGTCTTAATTTCCTGTATCATTCATTTTCAGTTCTTTACATGTAGCTTCGTTGCTTAGGATTTTTTTGTTTGTTTGTTTTGTTTAGCAAGACCTTTCTCTAGTTATATATTTAAACTGGCCTACATGATGTAAAGCCTTCCTGGCTTTATTAAGCTTGTTTTATAAATGTTGAATTCTTTAACTTTACTTCTCTTTGCCGCTGTTCTTTTGGAAATGAAACCCTCAGTGTCCCCCTAATTTCTTATAGGAGCTAAGATGAGATCAAGAAAGGGAGGAAAGAAAAGGCATTTCTGTGCGTGTAGACCTGCTCCGTGGCTGTCAGATCATACAGTCTCTAGTATTGCTTGCTTTGCGCCTGTCTTTCTATTCTTTTATCTCTGTCCGCATTATTTCCTGCCTGGAATGCCTGTAGTTCAAATTTGCACCTGCTGTAAAATGAACTATGGTTGTGATGGTTCTGTGGAAAGCAGGTGAACTTTAGAATGAGAGGGACCTGGGTTTAAGTTCAGTCCCTGCTAATAACTAGTTGCTAGACCTCAGGGAGGTTCCTGAAGTCTCTGGGACTCAGGGCCCACACCTGCCAAATGGGACGAACACTTCCATGTGTGGAATTCTTGTGAGAAAGAAAGTATAAAACACCAGCAGAATGTTTAGGCCAGTGCCTTGCTGTGGTTCACACCCAGAAGGTCCAGTGCCCTTCATCCTGCTCAGTCCTCTCTTGATTGCTTTACCCCCAGCATCAGTATCTGGTCTTACTTTCATGGTCATGAGCTCATGGTTGTTTTCAAACAGTAGGAAAGATTCTCAATAATATTTCATTGATACTTCCTGATTTGTTGCCGTTTATATGATGCTCTACTTACATTTTTAACACTTTGCATTTTTGCCATATATTATATTTATTATATTATAACAATAACTCCCTGACTGGAAATAAAATTTGGTATAAATATATTAAATTTTCTCAAATGCTTCTATAAAATCCAAAGCCTTCCTATGTCTGCTGTAGTCTTTGCCATCCTATTAAAAAAGAATATATATATATAAAATTTTGCTCTAAAAGTCAGACTTTTAAAGCATGTTTAAAATAAAGCAGTCTCCATATTGTTATCCTTTGTGAACAAACAAACCCTAAGTGCTTGTGAGTCTTTCCTCTCATGTTTGTCTATTATTTTACCATGTGTCCGAGTCAGCCTCACTGGGCATCAATTGCCCAGATGCACATGTTTTAAGGTGGCACCTCAGTTACTGTTCTCTACTTCTCTGGTGCCACGTCAGTGTTTCATAGTTTTCAGACATAATTATAGGAGGTTTTGGTAAGTTTGTTGTTGAGTTTTTGTTCTTTTTAAAGTCAGTTCTCTTAACAAAACCCATTCTCTCAGACCTACTGACTTAGATTAATTCCAGAGATCTAGATAGCTCATCTGACTTCCTTGTAACACAGCCCGCTTAACTTACCATATTCTTGTCCTAATTTCAAAGTATGCTTCTGATTATATTGAAGTCATCTTTTGGAAGCTATATTTATCGATACATGATCTTTTTATTTCCTTCATTTGAAAGCATTAACTCTTTAACTTTTTCAGTGTTTACCACTTTTCAGTGTTTACCTTTTATATTCTTAATAGCCATCACAAGAGTTGAGCTATTTCTAGGTTCCTTCACTTATACTGTTGAGTTCTGCACTTCACATACAGAATTGTAGATTCTTTATTTACACTGCTCTTGTCTCATATTTTCTTACCCTCCATTCTGATGTCATTCAGGCAGTTCACCTTTTTCCCAGTCTCCATTTTGTTAGGTTTTTGGCAGCCTTCTTTAGACTGCGAGAAAAAGTTTGTAATCACCACTTGCTCTTACTGAGTGCGGGTACATGTTCCTTTGTCTTGACCATTTTACGTTCAGTTGCTTCCTCCTCAAACAATGATGCTAAGATACGTAAACGTGTTTTCTCTGGGTGGATTCTAAATCCAAAGTGGTACCTGTGGTCATGTAAGCGCTGTGGTGCACACTGCATGGTAGATTCTTACCTGGACACTAATTGGCGCTCTGAAATTTATCTGAGCACTTGATGGTGTACATAGCTTGTCATCTCCCGGAGCTAGTGGGCTCTCCGTTCAGTGGAGCCTTGTTTCTAAGCAGTCAACAGCCTCTGGAATATGTCATTTATCACATTACCACTCAGAAAGTGCAGTGGAAGGACTTAAGTTAAAGCCACAGGATGACCGCTTTTTCTTGAAGTTTTTTTTTTTCTTTTAATTTTTTTTGTAGTAATAAGAAGAACCTTGGGCCTTGCACGTGCTAGCTGAGCACTGAGGATCACTGAGCTGTGCCCCCCACTCCTCCCCGATTTTGATATTTATGATGGTTTTGCAGATCAATCTGATTTCTTTTCCCCTCCTTGCTTTTGGTGTCCTAGTGTGCAGGGGCATTCCCAAACTTTGGTTTTTCTCACACACGAGTGTAAGAGGTGGGATGTAGGTAAGAAAGGAACTGTGTGTGTACGCAGGAGTGTAGGAGGTGTCTCTTGAAAGTTATTGTAGAAAAACTTAAGCGTTTTAGGTGCTAATTCATTCTTTACAGGAATGCTGTTAAGTTAGTGCTTAGCATTTAGGTTAGGATCAATGATTATTAAAAACCCTGCTACAAAGAAGTGAAGTTGGAAATCATCATTAGGTGTTATTTAATATTGGCTTGTCCTGTGTTTCTAGACATACATGATGCATCCCTGATAACTGTTCTAGGAATCAGCCCTCTCAGCACTTTAGCAACCTAATGCAGGTTTAGTTCCTCAGTGACTTTGCATGGCAGTCTGTTCTAGACAGCCGATGAAAGTCTTCATTTGCATGCAGTCATTTTAGTAATATGTCTCATTACCTCATTACATTATCTGAGATGACATTAAAGTACCCTTAACAGCAAGGTGTGGTGACACACACCTGTAGTATCAGTACTTGGAAGGCTGAGGCAGGAGGATCACTAGTTTTAGGCTAGCCTGAGATAACTCTCTCAAAGATATCAAGGACTGGGGATATACGTCAGTAGTAGAGAAGTTGCTAGCATACATAAAGGCCCAGGGTTCCATCTGCTAACTTCCCCCAACATTAAAATAGATATAAATCCCTTAGGATCAGACAGGATGGCTTCTTAACTTTGGAAGACTCCTTGCCAGTGCCTTCTGCGGCTTCATGATCAGCGCTAAATAAGCGCGCCTGTCCTCAGCCAGTACGTCGTATGGGGTGATGCGGAAGTCCTCAGTCCGCTTCTTTACTATTTCAGTTCTTCTTTGCTAAGTAATTCCTCACGTTAGAGACTTGCAAAAGTGACATGTTCCTCTCTGGATCTTTACACTCTGCCTTTTACTGCTGGATTTTGGTGCATACTACAGTTCACTTTATTCCTAGAGCCTGAAGGAAATCAAAATACTCCCCAAAATTCTTCTGCAGTTTTAAATTCTGAACATATTAGGGCTATATCCCAGCATGGCTACTCACTTCTAAAGCAAATATTTATTTATTTATTTATTTCCTTTTTTATTTATTTAAAGAATTTCTACTTCCTTCCCTCCTCCCAATACCCTCCTGCTCCCGCTCCCCCAACTCCCTCTCCTCCTCCCTCCCCATTCCCAAGAGCAGTCAGGATTTCCTGCCCTGTGGGAAATCCAAGTTCCTCCCCCCTCCCTCCAGGTCCAGGAAGGTGAGCATCCAAACAGACCAGGATCCTGAAAAGCCAGTCCTTGCAAACGAATCAAGACCCAGTGCCATTGTCATTGGCTTCTCAGTCAGCCCCCATTTCAGTCACACTCAGAGAATCCGGTTTGATCACATGCTCGTTCATTCCCAGTCCAGCTGGCCTTGGTGCGCTCTCATTTGATCAGTCCCCTTGTATCAGTGGGTGAACGCACCCTTCGCGGTCCTGACTTCCTTTTTCATGTTCTACTTCCTTCTGCTCTTCATTTGGACCTTGGGGGCTCAGTCCAGGGCTCCAATGGGGGTCACTGTCTCTATCTCCATCCATCGTCGGATGAAGGTTCCCTCTGGTTCTGATAAAGCAAATATTTATTGATTTACTTCTCTAGATGTTGAAGATACCACAGTAAAAGCTAGACAAATAAATGCTGATTTCATAATCTTTTATTATATAGGTAGCTTGTCATGGGAGTTTTATAATTATCTAGTTATGAAATCTAGTTTTTATTACTTCTATGCTAGTTTGTAGATGAGTGTTTTACACATAATTAGTTTCCTGTGTTCAAAGAGAAACCCATTCATGGTTTGTGTACTATAATATGTTACTTGGTGACTTAGCAGAAAATTTATTTCTTATAGTTCTAGACACTGGGATGTTTACAAGATTCCAGGTGGGACAGTGGTGGCGCATGCCTTTAATCCCAGCACTTGGGAGGCGGATCATAGGTGATCTCTATGAGTTCAAGGCGCCAGCCTGGTCTACAAAGTGAGTTCCAGGACAGCCAGGACTACACAAAAAACCCTGTTTAAAAAAACCAGAAAGCAAAACAAAGCAAAAAAGACCAAGATTCCAGCAAAGTAGAAGTCCTTCTGAGGCCTTACTTTGTAGGTGGCAGACCTTTCATTCCCCACTCGGAGCACATCTGTTTGCACACATCAGGGAGAGCACATGAGACTGAGTAAGGTCTCTGGCACTAATTCTATGGAACTAATTCTAAGGCACCATGAATATGACCTTATCTGATTACCCCTTAAAGGCCCCATTTCCAAATGCCATCATTTGGGGGGGCAGGTCCTCATCATGAATTTTGGAGACTCACAAACACCCATGTCTGGTCTAAGCATAAAGACAGTACTAGCTGCTCATAGTTGACCTACTTCTCCCTAATGGACGTTTCTTCCAGGAATCTAGAAAGATATTTCATGCCTATCGGTCTTGGATTATTTCTCCCTTTTTTGTCTCCCTGACGTTTGTGTTTGTTATGTCCTATCAGCCGTTTCATTAGTGTCAGTGGTAGTGCATTTTCACACTTCAGGCCCCTGCCGCTTTTCTGCTTGTGTAACATCAGAATCGCTGAAAGCATGGTCCTCAGACTCCTGCTCCTGTTGTGGGAACAGCCGTAACCCAGATCGTCTGTTGGACCATGAGGGCCATCCTTCGGGGCAGTCAGCCTTCATCCAGTCGTGATGTTCAGCAGCCACACTGCTGCCTGGGTGGTAGGATTCTCAGTAGAGCTCTATTTTAAATTTACCGATGATTCAGCTCTCAGGAGTTTCCCTTTCAATTTCTAAAACACCCCAGAGCACCCAGCTTGAAAGCAAAGTGTATTCCTTGGTGTCTTCTCTCAGGTCACCCAACTCTCCTCTCCTAGTGCTAAAGAACATAATTATTTACTAGAATAAATACACAGTCTTGTTTCTGTGGGGCTGTTTTTTTCTTCATTCCCCCAAAATATTGGCTGTACCCTAAAACCAATACGTAAGCGTCCGTTGAGGAGCCACCTTGCATTGCCTGATGTTTCCTGCTTGTTTCTGCGCGTCAGCTGTTTTCTGCCATTTCTCATCTTGACTTGTTCACTAGCGGTTTGTTTTCCTTCTGTTTCCTGGGGGTTTGTGTTAAGTGACTAATCCTAGAAATTGGGCTGTAGATTTGATGTTGAGTGGGGAGCAAGGGAGCGATAATGGAGCTTGCTCCCTTCAACCTTGCTTTGATTTTCTCCCTCTTAGCGTTCCCGTCCACTTTCTGCCAGTGACGCAGAAATGAAAAACCTTGTGGCCTCAGCCCGGGAGAAGGTACCCGGGAAGTTAGGCGGTTCTGTGCTTGGTCTGTCAATGGAGGAGGTAAAGATTATTTCATTTCAGGCCTTTGTGGGTTAGCACAGTGCTCATTGCAAATTTGTGATTCATAATACTCATGACATTATGAATATTCATGTCTTTCCCCGAAAGGAGAAAGATTCTAGATAGAAGTTTCTCCTTAGAAAACATACTAATGTCATTAATTCTTGCACACGTGTTTGCTTGTTTTCTATGTGTAACTCTGCCTTTGTCTTATAGCCACAGGTTTCAGAGTAGGTGCTCTTTTGTCTTATTCTGTTCTTTCTTCCTCCACCCAGATCAAAGTTTTACGGAGGGTAAAGGAAGAGAATGACCGGAGAGGAGGATTTATCCGCATATTTCCTACATCTGAGACATGGGAAATATATGGGTGAGGTGACTGCCATTTTTTTCTCTTCTAGTTATACCTCAAATCTGTAGAATTGGCTTGTTTGTGACTCGTTGTTATTGCTTCCAATGTGGCGGCTGTCTTACCTTTTTTAAAACAGTAATTAATCCACAAACCAGGCATGATGTTGCATGCTTAACATTTCCAGATTCAGGAGAGAGCGGCAGGAGGCTCAAAGTTGTCTTCTGCATAGGGAAGTCAAGGCTCCTTGAGACCCGGGCTTCAAAGAGAGGGGAGAAAAGACAAACCACAATATTAATAAATCCAAGAACGTGGCCATCGATGGTAATTAACCCACCTATGTATTGAAGCTCCCTCCCTACTTTTTTTAAGATTCATTTTTATTAATTTTGATTATATGATATGTGTACATGTGGTTATGTGCACATGACTACAAATGGTCTCATGAGCAGAGACATTGGATTATCAGAAGCTGGAGTTACAGACTGTTCTGAGTTGCCTGCCTTATGTGGGTGCTGGAACCGAACACAGGTCCTCGAGAATAGCAGCAAGTGCTTCTAACCTGTGAGCCATCGCTTCAGCTTCCCCACCCCCCACCATTTTTAATCCCCTGTCTCCCTCCTAACCATTCCTCTGTCCTTAATTTTGTTTTTTATCATCTTGATCTGAAAATTTATTTGTCCTCACTGTGTGTGCCTAAGTAGTACATCGTTCATTTCCGATAAGCTCTCAGTTCTAGTTTCCAGACAGTAAATCCAGTGCCTCCATTTTAAGTGTTCATTTTGATGGTGGTTTTTGGCAAATTAAACACCAATTTAACTACTCTATAACCATTACATAGGACACTTTTATTAAGTCCTGTATGACCCGTGACAGTCCCCCTCCATGTAATCCCAGGCCTCAGGCGTCAGCAGAGCAACATTTTATGACTGTTTTTGTAACTTCTGCTTTTGGCTTCTGTTTCTTATACAGTATTATTGAGGTTCATGCCTGTTGTCACATGAAGCAGTAATTTATTCTTTATTCCTGTGTTCTATTTGATTGTGTTATCTATCACAGTTTCTCTATCCATTTTCCTACCATGGGCAGGTTGGTTCATTATTTGGCTGTTGTAAAGAAAGTCCCTATGAGTGTTCATGGGCTGTGCCTTGTGTGCCCTTAAAATTTCATTTCTCCTGAGTAAATGCCTAGAGTAGAATTTGGTAAGTCATTGACCAGTGGTGATATACTTTCATGCTTTTACCCAAGATATTGAGTTCTAGTTGGTTCCCTTCCTTACTATCACCAAGTCCTAGGTGGTAACAGCTTCTTTCTCTTCCTCTTCTTTTCCAAAGACTTTAATATTGATTGCATATCTTTACTTTTTATTCACCCGTTCAGATTTTTATTTGTTCATAATTAAATCTTGATATGTTATATGTACATAGGACCTTACTCATTTCTTCTAGATTATCCAGTTTGTTGGCATATAATTGTTCTTAATAGTTCCTTATGATTCTTAGGATTTAAAACAGTATGTGTTTGTTTGTGTGTTTCTGTATGGGTTTATGCATGTGAATGTGGGCACCTGCAGAGGCCAAAAGAGGGCTTGGAGGGCTCTTGAGCTGCCTGATGTGGGTGCTAACCAAATCGGGGTCCTCTGTAAGTGCTCTTAATTGCTGGATCATCTCTCCACTTCAACATCCCCTCCTGTTTTTTTTTCTGAAACAGGATCTCATATATCCAAAACTGGCCTCAAGCTTGCTATGAAACCAAAGATGACCTTGAACTTCTAACCTTTTCATTTTACCTTCTGAGTGCTAGAATTATAGTTTTGACCCATTAGGTCCAGTTTATATGGTTCTGGAGATGGAATCCAGAGCTGTGTGCATGCTCTGCTAGATGGAAACTCCTGTAGACGTCAGTTTCTGTCCCGCTTGGTCCTGCAGCCAGTTCAGTCCCAAAGAAACACACAGAGGCTTATATTAATTATAAACTGGTTGGCCTATTAGCTCAGACTTATTACTAAACAGCTCTTAAAACTTTAACCCATAATTCTTGTCTATGTTTAGCCACATGACTTGGTACCCTTTCTCAGTGAGCCATTCTTATCTTGCTTCCTCTGCATCTGACTGATGATTGTGTCTCTGCCTTTCTTCCTCCCAGAATTCTCTTAGTCTTGTCACCCCACCTATACTTCCTCTTTGGCTACTGGTCAATTAGCGTTTTATTAAACCAATATGAGTGACAAATCTTTACAGTGTACAAGAGCACTATCCCACAGCAGACTGCAACAACAGCTACATCCCAGCCATGATTCTTTACATCTCTATTAACCAGTGTGATTTTTCCGTTCATCCTGTTTTTTTGTTTTTGCTTTCTTCATTGCTTTAGCTGAAGGTTTGTTGATATTATCTTTAGTATATCTTAGAAAAATAATTCTGGGGCTGAAGAATTGGCTCTGCAGTTAAAGAGTACTTGTTACTCTTACAGAGGGTCCAGCTTCAATTCCTAGCTCCCACATGGTGGCTCATAACCATGCATAACTCCAGTTCAAGAGGATCCAATGCCCTCTTCTGACCTCCACGGGCCCTGAGCACATGTGTGGTACACATGCATAAAATAAAATCAATAAATAAAAAGCTTTTAAAAATCAAGTCATGTTAGTTGGGAAGAAGGGGTTCAGAGGGAAAGGATGGAGAATAAGAGGGTAAAGGAAGATGGATATAATCACAGTACACTTTGCATATGCATGAGGCTGTTAGAAAGTAAATAAAAATAAAATCAAGCAAAAATAAAATACAAGTAATTAATTAAAGAAAATAACTCATTTTATTAGTTTTTGTATTTAGTTTTTTTCTTGGTTTATGTCATTATGTCATCTTTTGATTAATAAGTTATCCTACCTCTCTATTATTCCTCTAGTTATCATATATTTTATTTATTGCAAAGCACTCTTCAAAGAACATACTATTTCATGTATAATATAGGGTCTTTACAGCCATAATACTTCTGTCCTTCTTGTGTTATTGTTGGTATGTATTTTGCTTCTAAGTCCCCTGGAACTACCTTGTTACTTTCGCTGGAAGAGTCAGTTGAAATGTAAGGAAATTTGTCTTCTATTTGCACATACACGGCCACTTTCCATACTCTTCTCTGGGTTTCTGTGTGAAGAACTTCCTCCTCCAGGGTTTGATGTTTCTGTGCCGCTCTGATGGCAGCACATTGTCCACTTCTGGTTCTCTGCAGATGCTTTTGTCTCAACATTTGAAAGATTTTCTTGACAGGTTCTGGATAGACTTCTAGGTTGACAGTGTTTTCTCTTACTTGAAAAGAAGGTCTTTCCATTGTCTCCTGGCATGCTTATTAGGAGGACTCTGCGGTATGAGTGCTGCCCCCACCTTCAGCTTCCTTCTAAGGGTGTGGGTGTAGGCTTGTGTAAGTGTGCATGCGGGTCTGTTTCCACACGTGTATACCTGTGTGCAAAGGTCAGAGGCCAATGCCAGGTGTCTTTCTTGATCGTTCTCATGCCTATTTTATCAGTATATTGTGGGGAGGGGCAGTGGTGTGTGTGTATCCCAGCTTGTGTGGGTGTTAAAGGATGACTTGTAGCGATTGATTCTCTCCTTCTACCACGTGGGTCCCAGAGGTAGACCAAGGTCACCAAGCTCAGTAGCAAGTGCCTTGACCTGCTGAGTCGTCCCTCAGGCCTGTTTGTTTGTATTTGAGACAGGGTCTCTCATTGATGAAGCTCTTCAATTTGGCAGGGCTGCCTAGCCATGAACTCTGGGTGTCTGTTTTCAAACACTCGGCTCTGATGTTACAGATACACACACACCACTGCCCCAACTTTTGGATGTGGCTGCTGGGAAGCCAGACTCAGGTTCTCATGTTACCCAACAGGCACTTTACCAACTAAGCCATTGCCACAGCTCAAGATTATTAGATTATTATTTTATGGTTGTTTTACCTGTTTGACTGTGGTATGCCATGGCCATTTATTTTTGTCTTTAAGGTCAATTTTCTTTTTTCTTAAGGTCAATCTTTGTTTGTCTGCAGCATCCTAACTTCTAATAATAATTCTAGCAAACATTTTATTTCCAGTATTTTTTTTTGTATGTAGAAGTCCTATTTGTACTTTTTGGAGTTTTTTGTTTGTTTGTTTGTTTTTTGAGACAGGGTTCGTGACTGTTCTGCAACTTGCTCTTTAGACCAGGCTGGCCTCCAACTCAGAGATCTACCTGTCTCTGCCTCTTGTTTTTTGGTTTTGGTTTTTTTTTTCATCATTCTTTCTTTTTACTCATATCTGCCATCTCTGAGCCCGTTGCTTGGCATTCCTTTAGTTTATAGCAGTGTTTCTAACCTTCTTAGTGTTTCCTCCTTAATACAGTTCCTCATGTTGTGGTGACGTCCCCAACCATAAAATTATTCTTTTGCTCCTCCTTAACTCTAATTTGATATGTTTTGAATCTTAAAGTAAATATTTGATACGCAGGATATCTGCTTTGCAGCTCCTGTGAAAGGGTCTTTTGACCCCCAGTGGGGTCACAACCCACATGTTGATAACCAGTGGTTTATGGGATATACTATTCTATGTACAGTTACTTTGATTAGATGCTATACATTTTAAATGGTGTATCTTTGGTGTTTGTATTTCCTTGCCCACTTTAAATCCTATTAAAATTTTCTGTTGAGGCACTTGTGTTACTTGTAGATCAGCATGATGTTTTCCAGGCTGCCTCTGAACATTGTTATGGCAAAGTTAGGGTTCCTTCAATATGAGCCCAGCATACATCTGACTCAAAAGACACTTTTGGGGTGCCCATGAAATGACCCAGCTTTCAAGAAGATCCCTGTGTTCTGGCAGCTGGAACTTAATTTTCAGCCTCCTGTGAACTGTGGCGATATTTGAGTTACATTTAGTTTTGTTTGTTCTATATTCTGACCGTTGCCTTTTGCTTACCTTTTGCCAGAGCAAATTGGTGTGTACCCCAAAACTCATGGAACCTCTCATTATTTTGGGAATTTTTTTCTCTTGCATAGCCTATTCCTCTTTAGTGCCTTGCCTTGCAAATTCTTTTTTTTAAATATTTATTTATTTATTTATTTATTATGGATACAACATTCTGTCTGTGTGTATGCCTGTAGGCTAGAAGAGGACACCAGACCTCATTACAGATGGTTGTGAGCCACCATGTGGTTGCTGGAATCCAACTCGGGTCCTTTGGTAGAACAGGCAATGCTCTTAACCGCTGAGCCATCTCTCCAGCCCCCTTGCCTTGCAAATTCTAAGTACTTTTTATAGCTTTGATCTGGTCTTTTCATCTTAGAGGGATGAGATGGGTGCTCTGGAAACAACCTGTAGGAAGAAAGGCAGAGAAGTTGTAAGAATTAATTCTGTTACTTCTCCCTAATAAGAATCACCTCCTGTGGTGGCACACGCCTTTAATACCAGCACTCAGGAGGAAGAGGCAGGGGATCTCTGTGAGTTCGAGGCCAGCCTGGTCTACAGAACAAGTTCCAGGACAGCCAGAGCTACACAGAGAAACCCTGTCTCAAAAGAAAACAAACAAACAAACAAAAAAAGAATCACCCCCTGTGCCACCATTTGTTTAATGTCTAAAAACAGTTGCTTCTTTATTTTGTACACTTTTCTGACTTTTGTGCCTGTAGCAGTTACCCTCTTGTGTTTAGAAGCAGAATTGTTTGTTTCGTTGTTTTTGAACATTTGCCAGATAGTGTGTGTTCTATATAGTCTTGCTCTTTTCATTAAGCACATTACCAAGATTCATGCAGCTAGAGCCCATTCCCTATGGACACCTTTCCCTTTAACCTGTATGTTGAAACAGCTGTTAATTTCACGTTCTTCTGTTGATGGGCATTTGACTTCTTTCTGGTCTGTCACTGTCGGAGACGGCTATGCTGTTGGCATTCTTGAATGTGTCTTCTGGGTGTGTATCTAGGAGTGAGTTGCATCATGCAGCTTTTCTGGAGGAAGTGTTCTCGGAGACAGCATGTGACATGTCTCTCAGGTCAGAGGAGGAAACCTGGAGACTCAGGGTGCTTCTGTCAAAGAAGGGTTTGTGCGATTGGGTGGACTTGTGCAGCCATTATGTTGGGAAGGTTTCCATTTAGAGGCAAAGGGTCCATGGGAGATGTGGAAGGAGAAAGCTCCTAGGAGACCCGTCTGGCTGGTGCTGCAGAATCACATTCAGCAGCTGTGTGGAGAATAGGTGAATGAACTAGTGACACAGATTTTCCAGTTTCTGAAAGTTTACAAGAAGAAATGCGTGCCCCCCACAGTGACGAGCACAAAAGCACCTAATGCTCCTCGGTTCTGTTGTCCTGTCTGTGCGTGTGATTTCTTGGTTAGTTTGCTTTTTGCCTTTCAGGGTGACATTTTGGATGTAGTTCATCACCTCTGGTTAATCTACAAGATAATGTTGCCTTCTGTTTTCTAAGTTAAATCCTCTTTATTCTTTGTTTTATTCTATTCTTACTCTAATTGTTTATCATTTACTCTGAACAACCACCTCCTCATTTGGCACTTTTGAAGTAGTACACAAGCATTCTGTCAGTTTTATGCTTGATTTGTGCTTTATTTCTGCCTTTTCCCACCTGCACTAAACTTAAGAAATAATTTCTTTCTTTGCCCTTCAGGTCCTACCTCGAACACAAAACCTCCATGAACTATATGCTGGCAACACGCCTTTTCCAGGACAGGTAGGAATTTGCTCAGCTAAATGTCTAGAACTCTATCACAAGCTTAAGAGAAAGCATATGTAAAAGAAGGGTAGCAGCTTTATTCAAGTCTTCATGCAGGGCCTGGGGTAGAAAAGGCCTTTTACAAAACCCAGTGTATAGCTCACTTTCCAGCAACAGTTCTCAGCATTTTGTGATATTTGTAAAAACCCCAAATTAAGCCATAAAAGTCTTCTGAGCAGATGCCCCATTTCCCTTCTTTCTTTAAAAAGAAGATCCTTACTCAGCACCTTTTGCCTGCTGTTTGTCATCCCTCCGTCCCTCCCTCCCTCCCTCCCTCCCTCCCTCTTCCTGTTTTTTCCCCTCCCTGTCTCCCCTTCCTCCCCTCCCCCTCCCTTCCTTCCTCCTTTCTGTAGAAAGGGTTTATTTTGGCTCACAGTTTGAGAGCCAGTCCATCGTGTCAGCGAAGCCACCCAGGCAGGGGTATGGTGCAGCAGGTCACACAGCATCTGTAGTCAGAAAGCAGAGAGTGAGGAATGCTCTGGGCAGTTTTAAATGGTGTAATCATCTGATTTTCAAGCATAAAAGGGTTACTGGATCAGAAGATGAGGAGGGTTCATAAATGGCAACTGGTAAGCGCAGTACCAGGGGAGGTGGGAACTGACGTTAGCAAAGACTGGACTTGAGATGGCCCAGCTACCAGGGCCTGTGTACCCTGTGGATGCTTATCATCCATGCAGTATAACCACACAGTACAGCAGTTCAGCCCATTATTTTAATGAAGCACCTTAGTTGTTTGAAGAAACTCTCTTTAAGGATATGTCTTGTTTTCTGAGAAAGTCTTAAAATAGATATCCAGATTCCAGGCATCTCTTGCAATTTCTTGGTTATTACTGAAAATTGAATTGCACTTTCAAATCTGTATATTTGTGCTAAGTAGTATTAAATAACCACTCGCATAGCTTTTGATGACCCTTGGATTTGCGTGGAAGACAGCCCCAGATCTTTGCATACAGACTGGAGTTTGGACTGAGAACTTTGCCGAGGTTTCTTTACCTGTGCAGGTCAGACTCTTCGGCAGTGTGTGTCCTGCTGTGTCGCTTGTCAGTGCTCTGGCTTTGCAGCCCACAGCTCAGTCCAAAGTCTTTCAGTGGGAATAGCCTCCTCCCTCTTGGGACTCTCTATGGAATTTTACCGAAACATTTTGGCTATATTCTCCGTTTCCCTTTTTAGTCTTTTCTGTGGTTTCTTTGAGACGGGCTCACGTTAGAGCACAGGTTGACCTGGAGCTTCACTTGAACTCGTGGAGAGCCTGCCTCAACCTCCTACCCTCTGGAAGTAAGATGTGAACCACCGTGCCTAACTTCTTGAGAGTTCCTTAAACTTTGTCTTCTAGTCTCTAGCTCTCTTTATTATTTGCTGCGATCATAGGCAGGAGTTACTACATTTAGTTCCTATTGGGGAAAGTTCGACTTTCATATCCGGGAACTATTTGTACTTTTGACTAGCTTTCATGTTTTATTGATATATTTCTTTTGAAATTTTTTGTCTTGAAATCTTTTCAGCTTTTTGCACTATATAACATCTCCATATTCATTCTTTCCACCTACAGAACTGTTTTTTACTATCAATTAAAAAGCAATCAACTAAAAATAAATCCTATCTTTTATCATCATGTAATTGGTGAGCTTTCCTTGTCCAGGCATACTTAGAAGTAATTCACTAGTTGCTTAAAATAGGCATTTGCACAGGTTTCCTTCCAAGATCTATTCTGCTTCAGAACTGACACAGACTCTATGCTTGACGCTGTATCCATACTTCAGGTTTTCATGAGGGGGGGAAAGAAGGCACAGCAGGCCAGTTGGAAATTATCAGCCTAGCCATAAATTATGAAACATTTTATTTGGAGTCAGAAATGTGATGTATACTGTATGTGAATGGGCATGGTATCATACACTTGGACTCTTACACTTGGGAGGCTAAGGCAGGAGGATCAGGATTTTGAAGCTAATGCTACATAGCAAGACCGTTATCTCCAAAAACAAAACAAAATATATGTCTTATTCATTAGTAAAATATAGCAGCAACCTTGTCAGCCACCTAGGTTTCAGCCAGTTTGTGGTATCTACAGCATTTAAAATAGTTGTGATGGGAAGAAAGTGCAGTTTCTTTTGAAAATGAGTTATTATAACCCATTATTATGCTGAGCATGGCGGCGTACACTTAAATCCCAGAACTCTGGAGGTAGAGGCAGGCGGATCTAGGTGAGTATGAGGCCAGCCTGCTCTGCAGGCCAGATGGTATATATATTGACACCTTGTCTTTAAAACAACAGAAATACATTATTGTGTATTTTCCTAAACTTGTATGAACTTGCTGCATTTAATTGTATGCAAAATGCTACATCATCCAACATAGCATATTTCTGTATTCTTTCTGTAGGTTTCAGCTAACAACTCTTGCTTATAAAGCTTCTTAGAATTTTTTATTAGGAAAACAAATTTCCCTGTTTAGCAAAGAAATACCTTTATGATTTATTCTTGATGACCTTTTAAAGCTTCATCTCCATGTTTATATACCAACCACGGCTCAGTCAGGCCACATTTTCTTGCTTTTTCTTCCCCCCCTTATCCTGACAGACCTCCCTTTGCTGTGATACCTTCCATCCATCCCTAAGTAGCTCTCCCTGAGTCTTTCTTCCCCAGGCAGCGTCGCATTCCTGGACTGGACAGAGTTCCCGTTTACTGACTTATCTTTACCTGTTGGCCTTTGAGTGGCTGCTTTCTTGTGTTAGTTGTTGTCAGCGCTCAAAACCTATCATGTGGGAGAAAAATATGCTTCGAAAGAAATGATGTGTGTTCATTCCACATCCTCACATTTCACTGAATCCCTTCTCTCAATCTGAGTTGATATTTCCTTCACACATTAAATTGTTCTTGTCGATTTCAAACAGATTATTCACTCATCTCTTGTGGGTCGGGTGTGTCAACCTTCCATCCCTTCCCACAGCTCTTCCCGTCTACTCGACCAACTTTGACGGACAGTACCTTACCCAGTGTTCTGTTGTATGGCAATAGTCTTAACTCTGAGTGCAAATTAGCAACCCAGGGGGTTCTTGTAAGTGACAGTTATACCCTGGACCCATCCCTGGAGGGAAGTGGAGGTAGTTATTAAAATATGCCCTTGGGATTGTACTTAGAGGCCATGATTATAGATCCTTGGAGGTGACCATTGTCTGGGCTAAAAGTTAGTCATTCTGAGTTTTCTGACGCACTCACATCAGGACACTAACAGGGACAGAAAAGTATTATAGGAAAAGATAAACAAAACATCCTGGTGAAAATTTAACTCTTTCACTTGGTTTTCCGTAAATATTATCTATATTACTCTTGCCTTTTAAAAAATGCTACAGTTTATATACTATGTGTCTCCATTGACATTTTGGAAATGACAAAGTATTTGATTGAACAATTTAATGGATTTAGAGTTGGCTTGGAAGTATGCACAATAATGAAATGCCAGCAATGGGAGCTTCATGGTGAGTGGTGTCTTGTGGTGGATACATTAACTTTGCAATGATGTTTTAGTTTGGGTTTCCAGTGCTGTGAAGAGAAACCATGACCACAGCAACACTTATAAAGGAAAATTGGGGCTGACTTACAGTTTCAGAGGTTTAGTCTATTCTCATCCTAGTAGAACATGGCGGCATACAATCAGACATTGTGCTGGAGAAGGAGCTTGAGAGTTCTACATCTTGATCCACAGGCAGCAGCAGAAGAGATTGTGTACTGGCTTAAGCATATATGAGATCTCAAAGCTTGCTGCCACAATGACTCACTTCCTCCAAGAAAGCCACACCTACTCCAACAAGACCATACTTCCAATAGTACCACTCCCTAAGAGCCAAGCATTTAAACACAGGGTTCTATGGTGGCTATTCCTATTCAAACCACCATAAATGATGATAAAATTGTGCTGAGCTAAATATAGAAAGGAGTAAGAGTCAGACTGTGGAACACCTCCCACCCCAGTGTTAAGTGTGGAAATTGAATGAGAATGGTATGTTTTAAAAGGAAAAACAAAAGCCTGTTAAACAGGCATAGTTGACATTTAGCTTGGGAACATATCTCTCTCTCTCTCTCTCTCTCTCTCTCTCTCTCTCTCTATTTCAAACTGATTTGTTTCTTTAGTTGTGAAAGTCTATTTCTGATGAATAGTCTTTGGAACCCCATGAGAACAGAACTTGGTTCCCTATTCTGAGACTGTTCAATGAAAGCAGAAAGTTCTGTAGCAGATCTAAGCCCTGAACTCCAATGTAGACCTTTCCAGCCCTGACCATGGGCAGAATATAGAAGTATCATCTCCCGCTCATTTACAGGCACACATTCACACACACACGCATGCACACACCACATACACATGCAAACACATGCATACATACACATGTGCATGCACATGACAGTGGGGGAAATTACTGCCTTCACGTTGTCATGAGGAATAATTATGATTTGCTTTATGAGTAGATGGACAAATGTTATTACTCTCATTTTTCTCTGCAGGTTCTTTGCCTGTTCCCCATTTTAGATGTCAAGTCTACTGAAGAGTTTGTGAATGCGTTCCTTATGTGTGTGAACTCTAGAGTGAGTGGGTGGGTGGTGCTCTCTAACCCTGCTGTCCTTTCTACATCTGCAGGGGAAACCCAAGAAGAAGCTTGCTGACAGGAAGAACACGGTAACTAATTTTTCGAAGTTGACAAATTCCTTCCATGTGCATGATGTGCAGCCATGCATAGACCGAACATGCCTTATATAACTCTTTTCAGTTTGGCTCATCATGACTAGCAGCAATATGTAAATGCTTTCTGTTGAAAAAGTATTCTGTGGCCACATATTATAAAAAAGAAGTATAAGATTTAATTTATTAGAACCATATGTGCATCATTTTAACCAATAATGATAGATTTCTTGCACGGTGGGGTGAAAGACTCCAAGACCATTGCCATGTTTATGTTGTGGCTTTGGCATACCTGAGGCATACAGCTGAGTCTGCTGGAAGTCAGCACACAGGTAGCTTTTCATTTGGGCAGAGCAAAAAATAGCCAGAGGCAAGACCAACATGGCTTTGCCTCAGTCAAGACTGCAGCTGCCACAGAAACCTTTCATCCTCCACGTATCTGCAGGTTCCAGAGATTTCAACAGTTCCCATGTGCCTGGTCTGCGCTGTCCTCTTCAGAAGCAAAATAACAAGAAAGACAGTATAGCTACTTGCATCTCGCTTTGTTTTTCATTACGAGTAATTAAAACTTGGTTTCTCATCCAGTAACTTAAGTTGTTGTGTGTGTGTCTCTGTGTGTACGATGTGGGTGGGTACTTTTGTCCTGGCACATGTGTGGAAGTCAGGGAACACTTTTGTGGAGCTGGTTCCCTTCCTCCTCCTTTACATGGCCTCTGGGGGTCGAAGTCAGGTCGCCAGGCTTGTACAGCAAGTGCCTTTACCCACCACCCACACCCAAGCCTTTTGAAGCATAAATTTAACTTTTAAGGAAATCATAATTGCCTTTTTAGAAAGACTAAAATTAATAACTTGTAGCTTATTTCCAAATGAAAGTCAAAATTTGTTTTCTATATCATTTAGTCAAGGAATAGGCTACCTACGTATATTCCCATCAATTTGGAAGTTAGAGAAAAGAAATTAAAAAAAAATCATACAAAAGAACATTTAAAAGCTGAGTGTGGTGACGTGTATATGTAATCCTCGTACACAAGAGACTAACGTACGAGTGTCGTGGTGAGTTCACAACCAGCCTCAACTACTTCGTTTTTAACTAGGCTAGGCTATAGTATAGAAACAATTTTTCTAAAAACTAAAAGGAAAAAAATTGTTTCAAATGAATGGGCCTTAGTTTCCAATTTTTAGCTATCATTTCTTAATATTCATATGGATATTTTCGTGGTATAGGGGATTAAAGAGATATAAACTGGACTATGGTACTACATGCTGGAAAGAAGTCTTACTCGATTGAAAAGAATTGAAATAATACCATCATATTCTTGGAAAATCTCAGTATTTGCTAGAAGCAACACATTTCTAAATAATCTATGTATATCAAGAAGGATATCACAAAGGACATTAGAAAGTATATTGAAAGCATTAATGATAAAAATAAAGCATAAGATATATGATTTTTTTTTCAACAATAGTGGTGCCTTAAGGGATGTTTGTAGCTCTTAGCGCTTGCATTACAACCTGAGCGCTGAGCTAGGCATGGTGGATGTGCCCACAGTCCTGCTGCTGTGGGGGCTAAGGCAAAGGCTTATGACTTTAAAGTCAGCCTGGGCTACAGATAGCAAGACCATGTCTCAAAAGAAGAAGATGCAAGAAGCAAAGGGAAGACTCTGAGGACTGAAGTCACAGATCTGGAGTTCATCTTAAGAGACTATACAAAGCAGAGTCGAGTAACTAAAAGTAAGTAGAATTGAGAAAGTAAGAAAAAGTATAAGACAGATAAACAAAATAAACAGAAAATTAACAAAAGGAAAAGACCATTGAGTGGCAGCATGAGACAGAGGGTGGCGTGAGTGTAGGACCAGTAGACATGAGGTGGGTGCTGTGGAGAGATGCTGGGAAACGTCACTAATAAAGATATTCTGTTACTCTGACAGCTTAGGTAAAGTGGACTCAACTCCTTGTTGAGGATAGCATTGGTGCAGGCTGAACAGAGTTGAAGTAGAGATTCTGCAGGGCACAGAATCTAGTCAGAGTTTTTTTGTTTTTTTTTTTAAATAAAAGACTTCCTACAAAACAAGATTTCTTGGTTTCAGTAGTCAGTAAGACACCCTGTCTCAAGGGAACAAGTCAGAGAGTAATAGAGGAAGACATACAGTCTTGTCTATTGGTCTTTGCATGCACACATATGCATACACCTGTCCATACAGGTCCACATGTACACATACACTCTGCATGCCACCCATACAGGAGGAAGGGGAGGAACACAAGACATTCACACAATGCAGTTTATCAGTATACTTAGTAAAATTCTAAGGAATCATGCTTTAACAGTGTCAATTGAAATATTTTTAGACTTTAGTTCATGAACATAAACACTGGGCTTTAATTTATTAAGATATAATTTCTACTCATTTAATTAAGGTGACCTAAAATATTAAGCTAATCTCAAACTAGGTTAAGATAAATCTATCTATCTATCTATCCATCTATCCATCTGTCCATCCATCCACCCACCCACCCACCCACCCACCCGCGGGGGGGGGGGTCTATCTATCTATCTGGATTTTTTCAGGGCAGAGTTTCTCTATGTAGCCCTGGCTGTCATGGAACTCAACTTTGTAGGTCAGGATGTTATCTAACTCACAGACATCTACCTGCCTCTGCCTCCCAAGTACAGGGATTAAAGATGTGAGCCACCACGCCTGGGCCCACGTTAAGCTTTTAAAAGATGTGTCTTTAGAAAGAAACATGCTAGCATGTAAGATATAGATACTGCATTTGACTACACAATTACCAAATTTGAGCACGTTAGATATTAGTAAATAAATGGCTTGAATGGTACTTTTTAATCAGATATTAATTCATTATTTAATTGGCTAGATACATTTTCAGAGCTCTGTAGTTCAGTCTTTGGGTGTATGGTAATAGATTAGTTTGAACATTTCTTAGTTGTATTTCTTGGGAAGCTGAGGCAGAAGGATCCTGAGCCCAAAGTTTGAGGTCAGCCTGGGTGTCATAGCGATATTGTCTACCAGAAAAGGGTGGTGAGATGGCTCAGAGGGCAAAGGCCCCGTGCTTTGTCCACTCCTTCTTTGACTGGGTCCCACATCACTCACATCCCTAATTGTGATTTGTCTTCCTAACACCTGGCATAGGCATTGCCAGCTCCCTTTCCTATCACACTTGTCATTCAGAACCTGCTGGGATTGGGCCTTGTCTTCTTTCTGCCACCAGCCCGTGTCTGTGCCTCTGACTCGTAGTTTCTGACTCTGCTCAAGACCTGGAGGGATCCTGCCCCTCTCCCATCTCTGTGGAGCTATATAGGTGCCAAAGAAGGTCAGGATCCTTGGTGTGTCTTCAGGTTGGGGAACAATAGACTGGGCAGACTCTCACTTCCCTGTGAGTCAAAATCCCCTGTGTACCACGACCCTATTCTCAGGTTATCATCTGTTCTCTTCCATTGCTGCTCTGCCAAATTTGCATGTATTAACTATTGTATAATTCAAAAGGATGTTTAAATACTAATGAGAAAATTGTAATTAGCTGCAATAAAACACATTTTCTATCTCAAGTGTGAAAATCTTACCGCTATCTCCCAGTCCTTCTGAAGATACGAGGTTTGGATGGCTCGGTATAGTCCCTGCAGTAGAGTACTAGCCAGTATTACTAGGTGTTCAAAGGTGTTTCAATGTTGTTGTCACGTGTTTTTGTTCAGAACATTTTATAAATTCAGGAAAACCTTTAATAAAGTCTTACTATTGACTGAAATACTCCCATTTAGCTGTGCAACCCCTTTAGAGTTTATGAGGGTTTTCATGACAGTCTGTTGTCCTTACAGATGCTCTCAAGCTTGGTCTTGAATAAAGAAGAGGACTTTACTATCTTATGTAGTCAAGGCTGGCCTCATACTTGCTGTGTAGATGACTTTGAACTCAGGATCCCCCTGCCTCGATGTTGAGAGTGCAGGGATTGCAGGCATGTGCCACCACACACAGTTTAAGGAAGAATGCTTCTGACAGGCCTGCCTGCTCTGTTGTGTTTCCCTGCAGGGTAAATACTGAGGGCGCACCAGAACTGAAGGTGGAGAGCATGAATTCCAAGGCCAAGCTGCATGCTGCTCTCTATGAGAGGAAGCTCCTGTCTCTGGAGGTGCGAAAACGTAGACGACGGAGTGGCAGATTGAGGGCAATGAGGCCAAAATACCCAGGTACCTGCCAGTGAGCATTGAACAAACTGTGTGATCTGGGCCCTGGCAGAGCCAGTTAACCAGTTTCTTCCATAAAACCTAATGAGTCAGAACTTTCCTGATCACATGAGGTTAGTTTTCCTCTAGGTAATCTCTTCCCGTTCTGAAACTTAATTTTGAAAGGATTATAAATTTTGAAATGTCCAGTTCCTTAGTACTTGCTTTGAAAACTGTCCACAGTGAAGTACGTGTTTTGGCTCCTGCTCTCATTCCACCATCAAGCAAATACTTGAGACTTTAGGATAATGAGTGTCCAGATTAGTGGGGTTCTGAGCAGTGCTGCCGCCTTTAATGATGACCTGGAAGCCAGTTCATCATTTGAAATTGCCAGGTGGCGTGAGTATTTTAGATGGAGTTTCTCACCCTGGTTGGCTGTACAGATCTGTTTCTAACTGACCCATAGATTGGCACCTGCATGTTCCCTCCTTGGTAGAGCACCTGTGTCAGGTAGCTCATTAGTCACTGGGGTTTAGTTGATGAATTTTCAAAAGATGGGGTTACTGTTCTAAGATAGCAGTACACATAGACTTGAATGATCGTCCCCTGCTCTTGTATCTCTAGGAAGGGTACTTTGGTTTTTTTTAACACCCTCTGACATGCTAAAGAGCACTCAGGCAAGGGCTTTTGTGCTAGGGATGTCTTCAGTAGTGAGAAAGCCATGGGTGCACTGAGATCTCTCAGCTCTGTTGATGATTACTCTTAGGGTTGCTAGAAATACCAGGTGAGAGCGATGTGCTTGCTGCCAACGTTGTGTCTTGTTGTTAGTTTGACTTACAAATGGGTTTTGTTAAGAAGATAAAAGGAAGGTGTTGGGAGAGAGGACATTTTAATCCTTTTTTCAGCAACATTAGTGATTCTTCGCATTTAGTGATTACCCAACCAGCTGAAATGAATATTAAAACTGAGACAGAAAGTGAAGAGGAGGAAGATGTTGGATTAGACAACGAAGACGAAGAACAGGAAGCCTCCCAGGAGGAGTCTGCAGGGTCTCTTGGAGAAACTCAAGCCAAGTACACGCCTTCGTTGACTGTTATAGTAGAAAATTCACCCAGAGACAGTTCCATGAAAGTTGCCGAGTGGACTAATAAAGGTGATCAGTGCTGCAAAATTGAGACTCAAGAGCCAGAGTCTAAATTTAATCTGATGCAGATTCTCCAGGATAACGGAAATCTAAGGTAGGTGCCTTTGAGAGTGATGGTCGTCAACTGCTTATAGCTGACTTGTACTGAGTACCAGGTGAATGTCAGTGGCTTCACAGTTTCCTTTGGTAATCACAGAAGCCCTGTGAATTAATGATTGCTTAGACATTGCTATAGTCACATAAACGGAGGGTTGGAGCAGTAACTTGTCCGAGGTTGAGCTATAGTACAGCCCAGGGTTTCATAAGCCAAATAGTTGCTTGGTCGACATCAGTCTCTAAGAGTGCAGAGTGACCGAGAGGAGGAACTCAAGCAGTTCAGGCTTAGCATGTGAGACCCTCCAGGAGCTGGGGTCTGACCCCCATAAGGACACGGAAAGCATCATGTGCAAGGGGATCTTTGAACCAGCCCTTAACTGTTTTGGATTTTCCAAGGTTTAGGAAGTGGCAGGTGAGTGCTGAGTAGGTAGACGTGAGCAGCACAGAAGTGGTGCAGTAGTCATTCCTGCAGTCCATCAGCAGGCATTGCTGTGCTGTGCACCTGCCCCGCGCTGTGCCCTAGCGCATCGCTGTGGGGAGCAAGGCAGGCCTGGGGAACCTACAGTGTGCTGAAAAGATGGGCAGTAAACAAAGAAACATGGTACTCCAGACAGCAGAGAGTGCTCCGAAGATGACAGTGGTGTGATGGTGGGACGCAGGGTTACTGCAGCTGCGCTGGCCATGCATGAAGAGGTGAGCTTTGCCGTAAATGTGTGTGAGGAGTCGGTCCCACCCCGACTGCCAGGAGGCCCGCAGTTCCAGGCAGAGAAATGGCACAAGTCTTTGTGTTCGGGAAGTGTCCGACTGGGGGAATTGGAAAGGTCAGGAGGGGGTGTTAAGAAACGTCCCCCAGTAGACACTGTTACATTGCATAGGGGCTTTAAAGGAGCTGGCTTTGGTTTCTGGGTGGTATTTAAGTCTCTACACAATAGGCAGACCTTGTTTCAGAAAGTAAATTTTGCTCACATTGTGGGAGAGCAGTTGATTAGGGAAGAAACTCATGTAGAAAGGGAACAGTTAGAATTGTCCACATCTGGAAGATGAAAGTGATGGTCGGCAGTAATACAGGAATGAAGAGATGAAGATGGGCTTAAGCCGTTTGTGAGCTAGGAGTGACAGACTAAAACTCTGCATTGGCTAATGTGACTCCATCAGTAGGCAGAAAATGCAGGAGTTATTTCCTGACAGAAGACTCCAGCTTCTTTGTGCGTAAGGAGGATGTACCCTGTGCTGTGTAGCAAAAGTATTGCTTAGAGGTCAAGGGTCATAGTGCAAGCCTTACAGTGGACATTGCTGTCAGTTTGGATTAAGTGTCAGTGGGGAGAAAAGGCACCCTGGGTAGATCAGTACAAAGACCAAGAGATGGGCTTCAGAGCAGGAGGGAGGCACACAGGGGCAGCAGGAGGGTGTCAAGTCTGCAGAGTGCTTAAGACACCAGTGTTGTGTGAGGGACTAAAGGCCCACTCGTGAAGTGAATTTGTGGGTGGAGAAGCAGCTGTAAGCGGAGGGAATCAGAAAGCAAGTGTCAAGTTACTGTTCCCAAGGGCTTGGCCGCAAAAGAAAGGTAAGAGCATGACCTGGGGAGAGCCAGCTACGAAAGGATGCTTTTCATTTTAAAGATAGCAATTCTGGAGCCTTTGTAGACTTCAGAGGAAGGAGTTGATGGCCAGAGGATTAAGACATAGAAATGGATGTATTGGCAGAGAAGGGTTCTAAAAGAAGGGTGGAAAGAGGCCAGTAGAGGGATAGTCTTTTTCCAAGTCATAAAGGATGGGCTGTGTGGCGAGCCCTGAAGGAAACCACAGAGCGGAGAAGCTGAGTCGGCTATGCAGTGGCCTGTGCTCTCTCGAGGCCAGAACCTACGCTTTGCCAGAAGGTGCAGAAAGGTTTACATTTGGGAGGGTGCTATGGAGAAAGAGAATAGTCGGCTGGTGAGTTCAGGTTGTGTGGACTCGTTCCCAGTACTTGGGCTCTGGCCTTTGGACTGAGCTAACTGATTACGCGACTGAGGTCAAGTCAGAGAGTCAGAGACCCTTTCCAGGCTTCAGTGTTCTATGTCAAGCCAAGGTGCAGGTCAGACCAGGATTTCTGTAACTGTTTCCTGACTTTGGGGGCAGAGGGTGTTAGAAAATTGGAATTGGAAGTGGAAGATGGAAGTATGTTCTGAGCTCCATTCCAGCGATAAAACCCTCTTAGCGACTGTAGAAATGAGTAATTCTTAGTCAGTCTTAGGGACTTCACATTCAGTGAGAAAACAGAGCTTGCAGGATATTTTGCTGTCAGTCAGCAGACTCCAGACGGTTTGCCCATTGTTCTGTGAGATGTTTCAGTGGTCCCTAGGAGCCTGGGGATAGCCACAGCTAGGGCTAGAGACAGCATGCACCTGCTCCTTGTGTGATTTGTCTCTTGAGGATCTGTTTAGTAACTGGTTTTTTAGAACTTTCTTGGTTTGATACAAATCATGCCTGTCTTATACTTCTGTCCAGGTAGGAGGTATGCTGATGACTGATCAATGCCTTTGAATGGGTCTCAGGTTAGCTTTCTGGGGTCTTTTTAGGAAGGTTTACAGATATGAAAAACTTAGTACTCTTTATTTCATTTGAAACAAAATAAGGATTGAAATCTCATCTGGTTATCAGTATGAGGGCTCCAGTGAATGCAGTTGGTTACTCCGCTACAGTTAGAAGAATCTGGGACGTGCTGTTGTTCTCTAGATGAGAATAGGAATGTCTTCGTTGGGAACATTTGGACGTTTAAATTCATTGTTTCAGATTCATATTGTACTCCCATAACTGTCCCTGTTAGTAATAAGATTGTAACCTTATTTATAGCTCACTTGCTAGGAACTCTTAGAGATGAAAACTCCAGAGCAAGCAGACATCCTGGCCTGACTCCCCTGTACTCCAGTCCTGCAAAACACACACAGCCCTAGACCCTGTAGAATCTGCAGTCTGCTTGGGATAGATCCTTCATCTTGACCGTGGGGAACATGAGCAGACAGTGTTTAGTGATTACATGTGCGAGGATTGTGAACGGAATTTGTGTTGGGCCCTAATCTTAGCTGATGTAATTTTGGCTACAGTGTCAGGAGTCCGATCAGCTGAAGTAACCAAATCTTGCCTGAAAGAAAACAGATCTGCCACAATTAGCTGCTGAAGTGAAAGTCGTCACTGTCTCTGGTCCTCTGGCTTTCCCAGTGCAGCTTGAGGAGAGTCCTTGTCTGTAACCTAGACCAGCAGGCAGAAACCAGCTGTCACTAGGGTGCGTTTCACCATCTTGAATGTCTGGGTTCGTCCCTGCCTGTCAGGCCGTCTACACCAAGCTCTGCTGGACCACATTCACTCGTTCTGTTCTGGGCTCCAGCCACTCCTGTCATGGAGTTGAGATGCATGACTTTATAATTTAGGCTCAAAAGTTCCTTTGTAGGGTTCATCTAGTTTCTTCTTCTGATGCTTTTCCGTGATAGGAATATTGGTTCTCATAACAAAATCCATTTTTCTCTACTATCTGCTAAGTATGTCCTAAAGAACCACCACCACCAAGCCCCTTTCTACCAGTGTCCCCACGATCACTGAACCCTCTGCAGTCTCCCAAGGAAGTTCTTAAAATTGGAGAGGTGGAGGGGCAGAATAAGGAATTTTCAATTTTTGTGTTTCCCCCTTTTATGCTAGTAATGAGAAGTATTATCACAGTTTCTCACATGGAAAACAATTTGAAAGTTCATGTAGGGTTTGGAAGGGTTCTTTATTCAGTAGTGTCTACCTAACAGCTTTCATATTCTTAGCTATCTAATCAGAAGGATCTTAAAGGTCAGTTGGAGAGAGGCAGGTATATGGTGGGCAGATTTGCCATTCTGTCTTGTAACGATGTGCTGTTTTGGATCTCTACAGCAAAGTACAGGCCCGGCTAGCATTCTCTGCCTACCTTCAGCATGTGCAAGTCCGTCTGACGAAAGACAGTGGTGGTCAGACTCTCAGTCCCAGTTGGGCTGCCAAAGAGGATGAACAGATGGTGAGGCTCTGCTCCTGGGACCTGTGACTTACCCCTTTCTTCCTCTCCTTCTCTCCCTTTATCCCCAGCTCTGCAATATGTTCTGATAAAAAAAATTACTGCAGGATGCTGTTAAAGGTCTAACCGTGCAAGCCTGGTGACCTGAGAACTGACTCCACAGTTGTCCTCTGACCTACACAGGCATGGTGCGGCACACGCATTCACAGGCACCATGTATGTGTGTGCATGACACACACACACATACACACACTCACATACACACAGATATTCTACATGGCAAAATTTGAAGGTTTCTCATGTTTGTATGTGATGTAAAGCAAACCTCTGAAGCCATGTGCGTTATGCTGTGTAGTGGAGGCATCAATTTACTCCATTTTGAATTGGAAATTGATTGTTCATTGGATGTTATGTCCTGCATGAAGCCTTTGAGAAGAAAAAAAAAACATTCTTCTGTCCTTTTCATTTCATTTCATTCTTTGAGGGAAGCATCGTTACCTCATTTTACAAATGAGGATAAAAAGACCTAGAAAAGCCAGCGCTTTTGTTCTGTAGCTTGAATGTGGTAAAACTGGACCCAGAATGTTATTCTTGCCTTTACTTTGCTTCCTTTCTTCTCTGTCCTGAGAGTCCCATTAGCTCTTTGAGTCAGCACCTCGTTGTAACTCTCCCAGAAAGTACTGTTCCTATGTCTACTTGTAATGGTGTAAAAGTTTTGGATTGCTAGAATCAAACTTATGACAATTTTGACTATGTATTAGTCATTTGAACACACCAAGGATTTAATATTTTGAATCACAATGACAGGGAACATCAGGTTTTTTGGTAAGATCAGAGCTTGTAGAGGAAGCCACAGCCTTTTAATGCACATACTGGCATTGCCACAAGCAGAGGGATCTTTAACTCTGAGGAAACTGTGTTCTTTGTCAGGACTGACTTTAATTTTTAGTTCTCTTTATGAAAGGTGCATTTTAAAAAGCATATTAGTTTTCCCAGAAAGCAAATGATGAATTTAAAGTAGCCAATGCAACCCAGAGATAAAACCCTGTGTGTCATGAATAATCCTTCAGCCATCAGTGGAAAATGTTAGCGCTACACTTTCCAAGTGAAAAATTGAGCCTGCCTTTTTCAGAGTCAGTTTGTCTGCTCCACTGAAAAATAATGTTTTAATATAGTAGCTTAAACCACACTATAGTAAAGGCATCAGAGAACTATAAAATACGCCCCCCCCCCGTTATAAGGCTGTAACATTTATGCTGGAGAAAATTGGAGGAGGGGGCAATGAACAAAAATCAAATGTAAAAGAGTCACTTAGGAAGTAATCAAAGAGCAAACAAAAAAACAACCAAACTAACCCTCTGGTTGCTGAGTATTTGCCCAAGATTTGTGACTTTTTACAAGAATATCTGAGATCATCACTGCAAAATCAAGCTGCCCCTGGCCATGGCTTGAGGATCAATGGCTTTGTTTATGAAAAAGGCAGGTACACAGCTTCCTTCTGTGATCCAAGTCAAAAGTCTGGAGACCCACCACATGAAAACAGTTTTATATTTTATGGGCAGTAACCTCTTTGAGGTCCCTGACTCCACAAAATCTCTCAGAAGCATCTGTGGTGTCATGAAATGACCTGACCAAGATCCTCTCTAGTTCAAAATCCCTTGTCTCCATCTTAAGCGAGGAATAGCCTTCCATTCTCTTAGTGACTGTCCCCTGGTGTTGCTTCCCACTCCTGGCTCTTACAATTCCCTTACCCTTCAGAAGGAAGAGCAGTTTGTCCAGCAGTTTCTAGTTTGCTTCATCGCCACTTTCTAAGCAGTGGTTTCTGCTCTTTAGCTCCGTTCATTCCCCATGCTTCTTTCCGTACCTTCGTCCACTGTCTTTATATGAAGTCTCTTGATGCGACCCAGAGTCCAGATCCAGGGGCAGCCTCAAGCTTGTGACCATGTCTCACTCCTTGAGTGACTCTGGGAGTCTTTGACATTTGACCCTTTTCTCCCTGACCTCTGTGGCATTGTTTTCTATTAGGTTTCTCTCTGTACATTATTTTTTGTTTTGTTACAGGGTCTTACTGTGTAACCTAGGTTGACCTCTAACTTGCCATGCTCTACCTCAGTCTTCATAGCCCTGGGATTATAGACATGTACCATTGTACCTGACCCTGTTTCTGCCCTCTCACCTTTGCTGAGTTCATCTGCTTCTGTGATTTTAGTTTGCACTGACCTTAAATGCTAACTTTCCTAAATGGAGCTCCTTTTTAGAAGCAATGTCCACTCCTTAAGTTATGATAGCTCTGCTTGTGTATATATACATGATGGTGTTTGTATAACTACTGCCTTACTACATAGTTACTTGCATCTCTATTTGGTTTTTGTTTTTTGATTGCCCACATACTGAGGGAAGAGAATATGATCCTTTCGTTTTGTCTTTATGTAGTGTCTTATAGCTAACACGTTAGTAAAAATGTGTGATACCTCCTCTCCCATCATCGTTTGTTGTCTTTCCACGTCTTTTGTTCGAGCCCATCATTGCTTGTCTTCTCCATGTTTCACACAATCCCTACTTTTGTTCCTCTCTTTCTCATTACTTTATTTAGGAGCTAGTGGTTCGTTTCCTTAAGCGAGCATCAAGTAATCTCCAGCATTCATTAAGGATGGTGTTGCCTAGTCGGCGATTGGCACTTCTGGAGCGCAGAAGAATCCTTGCCCACCAACTAAGTGACTTTATCGTTGTGTACAACAAGGTAAGTTGTTTACCTGATAGTCTTCAGTGCTGGTTCATCGTACCCTGTTGGGAACAGGCCATCTGCTTTGTTCCGTTCTCTTGGTGGCACCATCCCCAGGCCAACTGGGCTGAAAACTGCATATTTTGAGGGCCAATGGCTATACTTAACTCTTATGAAATTGCATCATTCTTTGCTCTCTAGTGTACCTGAGAAAGACCCTGGTCTGTGTGCAACTGTAGTATAGTATTGTGCCTGTAGACATGGGGAGATGACCATTTGAGAGTGAACTTAAATTATGAATTTAATATGATGACTTGCATTTCTATTTCGGAATAGTTAGATTTTCTTCTCTGAAACATTTGAAACAGGACTATAACTTCACACCTATAAGGTACACTATTTAATTAGAATTTTTTTCAAAATGTTTTGTATCTGAGCTTCTAGACCATTTTAAAAAGATGTTATTTTGGGAGAAAAAGTATGGCCACTATGTAGGAGGAAAAGCCGAGTCCTGGAAACTGACATGGCTTTTCTGAAATTACATGGGAGGCTAGCGGACTGTCAGCACACTAAACCTGTAGCCACAGTTTACTTCAGATCTGTTAAGAATTCTATTTCGTCTTACACAAGTAAAAACTCAGTCAATTTGGAAACTGACACAAGAGACTCTTCCAAGACCAATCTTTCCTCCATGAATTGCAACAAAATATTGTGTCTGCTGTCCAGCCGCACTGTGAAGCTGCGTCTGTCATCCCAGATGTTACTAAGAAAGCTCTTGCTCTATGGCCCATGTTAGCAGAAAGTAAAAACATGATAAAAAAAATTGCATTCTGCCACCGTTACTTGGGAATTTCAAAACATTTCGTGAAACGACGACCCAAGTAGTATGTCAGATTTCTAAGTAGTGGAAATACAAGAAGAATGAAAGCCTTTCCCGTAGGGGCCGTTAGTGTAAGGTGAGGAAAGCTGAGGAAAGCGCATCTCTTGGGAGCCAGTTTGATCTTGTTGTTTTTCTCTTTGTTGGACATGGGTAGGAAACAGAACAAATGGCTGAAAAGAAATCAAAGAAGAAACTAGAAGAGGAGGAGGAAGATGGGGTGAATGCAGAAAGCTTTCAGGACTTCATCCGACAAGCAAGGTACAGGGCACTGCTGATAGATAGCCGTGTCCTTCCATCTCCTGAACTGCCCACTGAATCACCCACAGCCCCTTGCTTCTGTTATGTGGATGGGAATAAACTCAGTCCCCAAAGGAGGGAACATTTCCTAGGTTTGGCCTCTCCGTATCTTAGCCAGTTGTGTTGCTGTTGTCATGACTTCAGTTATCAAAACACTGCTGCTTGGTGTCTGGGCTGGAGTTCTAGACAGCCTTCAGCGCACAGCCCTGAGAGTACTGAGAGCCTCTGGAAATGTGAAGTTAGAAGCTTCTAGTGTTTGCTAGGTCCAGATTTATTCCTGACCTACTGATGCGGTGGAGATGACCAAATGTTCCTACATAGAGTAGGGTGAGGACTGGCTGTTTCTCAACTCTGTGAGGGTCACGCTTATTTTATATAAAACAGAACAAGTTTTTCATGCTTAGGATTGACCTTGAGAAATTGAAAAACTCTATGTTCAGCTCTGTTGATAGAAGCCAGCCAGACCACTTTACTCACTGACATTGCATTTCCAAAGGAAGAGATAAAAAAAGCTCTTAATTTTAACATTTGTAAAAACTCAGAATGGAGGGTCTTTTTTAAATTAATGAGTTATCAGGCTAGAGAGTTGATTTGGGGATTAAGAGCATTATCTATTTTTGCAGAAGACCTGGGTTCTGTTGCCAGCACCTACATGGTTTCTCAGAACCATTCCTAACTCTAGTCCCAGGCGACCTTACATAAAATAATAAAATCTAAAAATAATTTTTTTTTCAAATTAGAGATCTGTGCAGAAACTTCCAAACCAAAGGAAAAGCGATGATAAGCCCCTTTAATTAGGCTTCAGTAGTCCAAGACACAGTGGGAGGATAGCAGTAGAAAATCAACTTTCATTCTTTGTGAAGTTAAAGTAGGCAATGGCTTATCAGTCTCTAACACTGAGTCCTTGGTTAATTCTTTGAACAGACTTCACTGTGGCCTCAGTGTCTTATGTTTTAGGTGTGCTACAAACACATGTATCATTTTGTAGGGTTTATTGTTGTATAATGCTGTTTTGTGGTTATTCTGAAGTCTTGAATAATATGCTTGAAAAAGCAGGTATAGAAATAAAGCAAGAATCAGCTATCCATGTCAGCCTCATAAAAACAGCAAAAGCAGAAAAGGACAAGGTGGTTCAGTGGGTAAAGGTGCTCATGCCTAAGCCAGAGACTTGAGTTCCATCCCCAGGGCCCATGTGCTGGAAGGAAAAGCACAGGTTGTCCTCCACGCCTCTACCATGGCATGCATGTGCTCATCCACAAAGTGAATAAATAAATGTAAAAGATTAAAAGCAGAAAAGGAAAAAAAGTAAATGATATCAAAAAGTAGGTTTTTTTTAAAGTTCCTAAAATAGAAAAATAGAGGAAAAAAACCCCAATATATACTTTGTATAGTGTGCCTGCACATATGTCCAGAAGAGGGCACCAGATCTCACTACAGATGGTTGTGAGCCACCATGTGGTTGCTGGGAATTGAACTCAGGACCTCTGGAAGAACAGCCAGTGCTCTTAACCTCTGAGCCATCTCTTCAGCCCAAAACTTCATTTTTTTTTTAAAGAAAAGAAACATAACTGGGTACTAAATGTAAACTATATATACTCTTAACTAATAGAGTGTTTGGGGTAAAAATATATTAGGTTATATTGTTGATTGACATTTAAGCAGCAGTTCCTGGGAACTGTGTGGTAGTGTAGGGTCTTTTACTAAATTAGGGTGAACACACAGATTCCTTCAATAGGCTGACAAGTTCAAATGCCTGCAGGAAGGAGGCAGGAAAACCTAATGATGAGGTGGGCAGAGAATGAGACAGGTACAGAGTGACTTGTCGCTGGGCCTGCTGTCCCCTGCCTTCCAGTATTCTGAGAGCGCCAAGTAAAACACTGCCAGAGAGAAGCAGGGCCCAGTACAGCCCCAGCTGGAGATACCTGCCAGTTAACACTATCTATCTTGTGCCGCCCCTCCAGCTAGGGGATCTGAGCGTTTATGGAGATCCATAGAGGTGCTTTCCTGGGTTCTCACTGGTGTGTTCTGAATATGGCGGGTGAATTGCTTCACTTCCTTGAAGGCTGCCTATGTGAAATAATACCAAGTTCCAGAGATGAGAAAGTGGCTATCAAAAAGTGGCTGTGCATGTTGAAAATCCCTGCATTGCTGCCTCAGAGCCCTCGGGCTGAGAGCAAGTTAGAGCCGCTCATGTTGTGTTTGCTGGGAGCCTACTCAGATCCTCCTCTGTTTTCTAATACTCCAGACTTTGTGGCCACTCATAACATGGCATTTCAGTGACTCAACGTGCCCATCTACTTCTATCTCATTCAATGTTCAGATGGTTAAAGACCCCGTCTGTGGCCACACTAGGTCTCCTTATTTCTGACAGAGCCAATTAAAATGACTTGTGGCCCTTTATGTGAAAACACCTCAGTTATCTGGATACACCGCCAACTGCAGCCAGATGATAGCTGCACTCTGTGACTATAAATAATCTTTTTCACATATTTTATTTTTTAATGGTGCACACCTCTCTGTGTCTCTCATTCTCTCCCTCCACTGCCCCCACTCCATGTGTGTAAGCTGACGAGGGGGGCATTGTACAAAAATAGGTTGCTGGTAAGCTTTGACCTATTCTGTGGTTTCAATTTCTTACCAAGAGTGTGCTGCTTACCCAATAAAACTTTGTGCAGGTGACGAAGTACTTGAAATGTGTGTAGTGTGACTCTGGCAAAGATAGTCTAATTTTATTGCATTCTAACTAAGTCTCCATAGCTCCATGTAACTATAGTGGCTGCTAAATCAGGTAGTGCAGGTCTAGAAGTTCTCTGTGTGGGTTAATAAAGGTTTATCGTGGTCCACATTTTCCCAATTGCTCTCATTTTTAAACTGTCTGTTAATGAGGAGCTTTCGCCTTGCGCGTCTCACTTTCCCTTCTCTGCTTACTGTTTCCCTAATAAAATGTCAAAAGATTTTCCAGAGCAGCTTCCTGTGCTGACCAAACTCTCTTCTTCATTTCAGTGAGGCTGAACTGGAGGAGGTGCTGACTTTCTATACCCAAAAAAACAAGTCTGCCAGTGTCTTCCTGGGGACTCACTCTAAGAGTTCTAAGAACAGCAGTAGCTATTCTGATAGTGGGGCAAAAGGTGGTAAGTATGCGAGCTAATGAGCGAGCCGTGCAAACAGGTGGAAAACCGAGCCATGAGAGAAGCATTGGGAATAGGAGCCCTGGCTGCACACTGTTCTTGAGTGTGATTGAGTGTAGCCTTGACTGTCCTTGAACTCACTATGTAGACCAGGCTGACCTCGAACTCACACAGATCTGCCTGCCTCTGCCTCCCAGTGCAGGAATTAAAGGTGTGCACCACCCTCCCTCCCCAGCTGGGTAGGGTGTTTTTGTTTTTGTTGTTTGTGGGCCTATTCCATACCTAATCGGGGTGACTGATATACTTGGTTCCAAGCCCCAGATGCCATTGGTTTCCTTCAGGCATTGTGATGTACCCTGTGTTTCTAAAAGTTCTCACTGCTGAGGTTTGGAATCAAATGTGGACTAGACTCTCTAGCTCATATTGTTGTTATAAAAAAAATAGCAATCACTCTGTATCAACAAACTCTGTGCTTTCTATGTAAGATCAGTTTCAAACCTAGATGCAAATGTAGCAACATAGGAATTTTATCAGTATTTTAGTACTGTATTTATTTATTTATTTTGCTTGTGTGAGTGTCTTGTGGCATGTATGTCTGTGGACTCCTTGTGTGCCTGGTGCCCGTGGAGGACAGAAGAGGGCTTCAGATTCCCTGGAACTAGAGTTAAAGATAGTTGTGAGCTGCCAGGTGAGTACTGAGTACTGAACCCAAGAACAGCCAGTGCTCTTGACTTCCGGACCGTCTCTCTCGCCCCCTGTCAGTATTGTGAGCGCTAGATTCAGTCTCCTGCTCTTAAGGCTAGTCGAATCCTGTGAATATCTTCTGAAATATTCAGGAAAATTGGTCACTTCAAATGTAAAATGAGTTTCCCAAAAAAACAGCATAAATTTTGTTTGTATTTAAAGGGCTGCAGATTGGTCCCAAAGCCTCAATATGCAAGACCAGCTCTCTCTAGCACTGACATCCCAAGCCAGTGTTGTAAACTCACTTAGGCTATTGCATAAAGCCTTGTTAGTGTCTGTATTCCTGAATTGTATTTTTAGTGGTCCCTTTAAGCCCAGCTTCCTTTTGGAGTTTGTTTCTAGCTTCATATTCATCTGTTCGTTTTTTCTTTCTCTTATTTGCTGTATTTTCCGTTATCCCCTTTGATAGCTGCTAGCAGTTCAATGACTTGGCCATCAAAGCCCTTGAGTTTATCAAGTGTGTTGTCTGGTGTGTGGAACTGAGAGGTGAGTGTGAGAAGGCTGATGAGAATCTGAAAAGTAGCAGTGGCAGTGTCGTGAGCGGAAGGTGGAGAGATGCTTACAGGGAGGTCAGAGTAAGAAACAGCGTGTTTACCTGGTGAGATGGGGCCCACACGGGCATTCATATGGCAACTTAGTCCTTGGCAGTAATGGAGAAGACACAGTAGCATGTACCAGCAGCTCCTGTTAATACAAATGGGACACTTCAAATTCTCAAGTTTGTTTCTTAAAGATACTTTTATATTAGAAGATAAATTCCTGCATTTATCTATTGTCTAAACCTAGAGAGGGTCTGAAGGTTTCAGTCAAGAAGAGAAGCATTTGATAGTTTGGTGTCTGGGTTCATTTCATAGCTGAACAAACAAGTGATAGCATTACCCCTGCAGGTGCTGGTGGAGCAGACAGGACCCAGATGCCATTATCCTCTGAGAAACTCTCTTACGTTCTTGTATAAATCTTGCCTTTGACGCAGACTTGGAGCACTTCTCTGAGTTATGAATAGCTTTTTCTGCTTGTTTCAGAATCTGGTGGTAGAGAAAAACTACTACAATGGAAACTGGTTTTATTATTCAGTATAATGATTAGCCTGTCTCAGGTAAACTGAGGCACATACTTTAAGCTACAGAGTTGAAGTGGCAAACCAATAATTAGTGAGTCTGCGCTTGCGCCTCACAATGCTGCTCCTGTGCATGCGTGTTGTTGATTTGGCTCAAGCGGGTCCTGCCAGCCACTGTGATCTCTTATCTCCCCACCCCTGCCCCAGCCTGGAGTCCTGGTGGGAGCACCCGACTTCCCTTTACTTCTATCATTATCCAGGCATGTCCTAGCTGGGTCACAGTCAGTAGATTGCTGCCTTGGGTTTGAGTATCTCTTCTTGATTGAGTGAGATGGTGCTGATGTAGGCAGTTGTTGGGAGTCTCTCAGTTGACTGCTCACTGTTGCCGTCCTTTAAAAGGTGTGGTGGCATGTGCGTGTTTCCCAGCATTGTCTAATACCTGTGTTATGATTTTGATTAGTAAAGCACTTAAGCCAGTATTTTTTTATTTCAGATCACCCTGAGACAATTCAAGAAGTGAAAATAAAGCAGCCCAAACAGCAACAGGCAACAGAAATCCACTCCGATAAATTATCTCGTGAGTGTTTGAAACACACGTTACGCTATGATACACCTCTGCCAGAAAAAACGTTGTCAGGTGTTAAACATTTTAAGCGCATGGACCATTATTGCCCTGGGAAGTTTCCTTTTGTTCTTCCCTTTCCCTTAGAATTTTCTGTTGGTAACTTTATTTCCTTCAAAAGCATTTTCCATTTTCTTAAGAAGTTCTGAGCACTTTCTTTTTTTCCCAGAGGGAGAGGAATTAGCTGCTCCTTGTAGAAACGTTGTCCTGCTTGCTTAGCATTTGTAGAACATGCCTGCTCTGTTTTGTGGGGGATGTCTCAACTCAAGCTTTTCAGAAGGGATAATAATAAAGTAAAATTCTTGTTAGCAGGCTGTCTCTGGTAAGCAACGTTTATGACGTTCAAGATGAATACTCGTTAAAGTCTGCATGATTTCTGTTTCATGTTAACATATTTTGATGTTCTAAAGTTGTATGTTTATGTGTCCTAAAATGACATGTTTTTTTGTTGTGTTTTGTTTTTGCTTTAATAGGATTTACCACTTCAGCAGGAAAAGAGGCTAAACTAGTCTATACCAGTTGTTCTTCTCTCTCTGGTCCTGCTGCTGTTCTTCTGCAGAAACTTCCCAGCACCCACTTGTCATCTCTTATTACAGCCTCTGCCCTCTCGTCAGGTCCTGGCCACCATTCCTCTTTATCTCAGATTTCTCCAGCTATCCCCAGCATGCCTCACCAGTCAGCACTTTTACTGAACCCAGTCCCCGACAGTGCTTCTCCCTCCATACACCCTGGGACCCAGAACGTAAGCCCCGCTGGCCTGCCGCGCTGTCGATCAGGCAGTTACACCATGGGCCCCTTTTCCTCTTTCCAAAGTGCCGCACACATCTATAGCCAGAAACTGTCTCGTCCCTCTTCAGCAAAGGCAGGTGAGTGAGAAATGAAGACTGCCTGCCATGTCAACTCCTCCCCAGCCCCATGAAAGTAGAGCTCCCTCTGTTCCCTTTGCTTTTGATGCCTTCTGCTGTGACTAAAGAGAGGTCTTGCTTTTTGTCCACGAGCATTCATTCACTGGTACAGAACTGAACAGGACTGCTTTTAGGTACTGTAAAAAGGAGATGAATAAGACAAGGCATCTAGATTCCCCACTGCAGACGATCGTAGACTGTGAAGACACTCTGCGTTCTTTCTGATTCAACTCACTTTCTGATGTCAGACCATTTACAAACGAATACCTAACCAAAGGCTTCGTAAGATACGATATTTAATTTTAAATGAAGTAGACCCATATTATCAGTCAAGTCTTTTTCTCATTTATTTTATGACTTTGAGGATCAAACCCAGGACCTTACATGTATTAGGCAAGCACCCTACCAGTGAACTATATCCCCAGCCCAGTTTTTAATGACAGCTATGTTGAGACATAACCCCTCCTCAGAAACTTGGCTATTTCGTATGAATCCAATGGGTTTTGGTATGTTCACAGATACTTACAACCAACACCACTGCCTAGCTTTAGAACACTTTTCCCTCAAACTCCTTATTAGCAGGCACCCTCATTTCCTCTTCCTCCTAGCCTCTGACAACCACAGGTAGCTTTCTTTCTCTACAGATCTGTTTATTCTGGACATTTCACATAACTAGAGTTATACAATAAATGGCCTTTGTGATTGGCTTCTTTCACTTAGTGTCGTGTTCTCCAGGCTCCTCTGTTAGAGCCTGTGTCGCGCGTAATGCCTTGTAAACAGCTGGGTGGTGTTCCAGTGTATGGTTACAGCATCTGTTTTTCTGTTTGCCAGGTGGGGCATCTGTTTTTCCCTACTTTGGCCATTATGACTAGTGGTGCTATACGCAGTGTGACAACATTTACATGTGGACATCAATTTTTATTTTCTAGTGTACGTAGCAAGAGTAGAATTACTAGGTCATGTGATAAATTTCATGAGTCCTCATTTTGATCAAGCAAGTTCTTCTTAACATTTAATGTTTTTTTATTTTACCCATCATAGAAGGTTTGGGATAGAATCCCTCTGTCTGTCTACCTGTCTAACTATGTATTTTTCTATTGTGTAGAAGGGTACGATTGGCATTTCCTTAATGGCCAATGATTTTCTCATGCCTTTTGAGTATTTGTGTATCTGTATAAGGGAAATGTTTGATTTCTTTGCCAGCTTTTTAGTTGAGGTATATCTTTATCATTGAGTTGTGTTCTTTATTTATTCTGTATACAAGTCTCCCATCAGGTGAGTGCTTTAGAAATGGTTTCTCCCTGTTTATTGGTTCTGTTTACTCTCTTCAAGCATAGAAGTTTTAAGTTTTGATGAAGTCTGATTTCCCTATTTTTTCCTTTTGTTGCTTATAGTTTGTGTCATATCTGAAAACATTAACCCAAATTCATAAGGATTTTCTTCTATTTTTTTTCTTAGAGTTTCATATTAGATTCTTACATTTGGAACTTTTGTCCAATTTCAATTGCATATTGTGTGAGGGGATGTAGGGGTTTAACTCCATTCTTCTGGATGTGGATATTCATTTTTTCCAGGTCCATTTATTTAAAAATGTCATTTCCCTACAGTTGAAAATTTTACCTGCGAATGGAAAGACTTCTTTCTGGAGTCTCAGTTCTGTTCCTGTTGATTTTGTTTCAGTCTTACACAAGTACCACATTGTCTTTCTGTAGCATGATACTAAGTTTTGAAATCACCAAGGGTTCTCCTAACTTTATTCTTCTTTCTCAAATCTGTTGAGGCTTTTTTTGGGGTTTCTTACATTTTTATACTTTATCAGCTGAAAAGCACCGTTTGTGGTGCTTATGTACTCTTGGGAGTGTAGGCATCCTGTGGGACGTGGTCAGCCTCCTAGAGGCCACACTCCGAAGTTTAAGTTCTTTGATATTGATTCTGCATAGCCTTTAATTCCATTATCTCCAATTGAGCTGTTTATAGAAAGTATCTTGGACATTAGCAGAAAACTGTAAGCTACCCTGGGGAACGTTTAGACAATGTTTTCTACAATGTGGAAAATCATCAGAGAAGACCTAAATCAGTGGGCAAATGTTCTGTATGTAGCATAGGAGGCCTCAGGTCACACTCATCAAATTGATCTCTGGATTCAAAAGTTCAAAAACCTCAGCCAGTTACTGTTTAACTTGGTAAGCCTATCCCGATGATGCGCAACACTGAGGATCTCCTGAATTCTTTGTTAAGACTCATGCAAAGGTAAAAATGTGGTGTCCACAAAGGCACACAGTGACCAAAGAAACAGAGTAAAAAGTCACACCAGTTGGTAGCAGTGGGACAGTGTCTTTCTCATAAACAGTGTTGTGGTAAGTGAGATCAGACCCCTGCCTCAACCATGCATAAAAATAAATTTCAGTTGTGAATAGTGACACCCACACTTGGGTTGTGTAGGCAGGAGTATCCTGAATTCAGGGCCAGACTGGGCAATATAACGAGATCCTGTTTGAAAAAGCAAAAGCATTTTTTCCAGATATAGAACTTAATACTTTAAAAAATTCTTTACAGGTTTATTATATGGAAACAAAAGTAAAAACAGAAGCACACCTCTAGTAACTCAAGAAAATGCTATAGAAAAATGACAAGGTTATCAGGAAAGCAGTAACGTCCAGCATCACTGTTAACTGGGTAACTGGTTAGCTTCCTAAAGAAAGGAGAATTCAGATGTTTGACAGTCCCGAGTATTAAAGGATGTGTGGGTCATCAGGAATGTCTGCGTAGGAGTATAGGACATGCCACTCTGATCCTGTCACTTTGGGTTGAAAATACATGGACCCTGTGACCCAGCAGTCCCACCCCTGGGCAGAGGCACAGGAAAAACCCTGCCGTAGAGTGCCACTGTGCTGTTTATAACCAAAGTCGGTTCAGAGGAACATCCGGACAGAAGAACTGCAAATAAAATGCATGAATTTGTCTATGCTGGCCAGCGAGGATGCCTCTTGTCAGTGCCATGTAAAGGACAAAACTACTAATGGGAGATGCCTTTTTATGGAGCCTGAAAATAAGCAAATTATCTAGTATTTATGATACACATGCAGGAAAACATTCCTACGTATTTAATAAAATTCTGTCCGAAAGGAAGAGACTGAATGAAAGAGGGAGGGTAAGGATGGTTAACATGTGCTGCTGGTGGAGCGCCACAGGTGCTCATCCTGAGGTGCTCATTGTGAAGATATCTGTGCACACCAGTTCATACAGTAAATATGAAAAGGCGTTTTAGAGCAGTGTCACTACATTGTGTATAATGCTTACCTTAGTGTTGTAAAAGGGCAGAAGGAGCTTGGGAGGTGTGGCTCAGTAGTAGATAGGAGATTCCAGCTCCACCCCCAGCACCACAAAGAGACACAAGTAAGTGGATAGAGTAGGAAAACATGTAGTATTTCTTCTTTTGTGACTCAAAACTAATCTTTCAGTGAGATATTTTATAATCACAAAAAAGCCTTGAACCTTGATTTTATTGTGGTCAAATAGTTGAAAGAAACTTGAACTCTGAGAGGACCGTTACTCAGTAATACAAGACTACTATTCTTTAAGTACACTTGCTTAGTTTCTCTTCCTACCTGCTTCCCTTTGGTGCCTTGTAAGAATGTGAGTGCTGTTACCATGGCTGCCACAGACTGATGTGTGTATTTATGTAATAAAGTCAGACAAGAAGCAGAATTTTGAGGTCTGGGTTCTCTTTTGGTTCCTGCTGATGCTGAGGTTAGATCCCAGTGCCATGTGGTTGCTTGCTGCTCAGCTGTCCCCAGTTAATCCTAACACTGGTTCCTCTCATCTCTCAGTGAGAACATTCTCTGTAAACCAACACACACCAATAAACACGTGATAATCTGGCTGTAGGAAGACTTTCTAGGGCATGGTAAGGGTTTCCCCCCCTTTTTTTTTTTTTTTGTACCATTCCGAGGTCATCTTTGGCCTTCACTTTGTCAGAGCTCCCTAGGACTCAGCAGAGTGTCTGTCAACTGATACTTGTTTGCCATTGTTCTCCTTTTATTCAGGACATGATTTCTAAGTGGGTGAGAACTCTTTTCTTTTTCAGCAGGTTCATGCCATCCTCATAGGCACCATTCAGGAATAGCCAAAACTCAAAAAGAGGGTGAAGATGGTTCCTTCAGCAGAAGATACAACCAGAGCCTGGTTACGGCCGAACTCCAGCGGCTGGCAGAGAAGCAGGCAGCCAGGCAGTATTCTCCAGCCACTCACATCAACCTCCTCACCCAGCAGGTAGGGACCTGGGAGTGGGCGTGGCGGGGCATACTGTCCTTCCCTCGCTAGGCTGTTTCCTGTGTGTTTGTGGTCTGAATTGTTTCTCTTTAACTGGGAAGAAAATGACTGTCACAGGCATTGCAAGGTTAAATCTGGTACTGTCTCTTATGGTATATAGTACTGCATAGGTAGCATCTAAATTTCAACTGTAAATACAATTTTCAGGCATTAGAACTGTAATGTGTGTGTGTGTGTGTGTATATATGTGTGTGTGTGTATATATATATATATATGTATGTGTGTGTGTTTGTATGTGTGTGTGTGTGTGTGTGTGTGTGTGTGTGTGTGTATGTGCCTGTTTGCACCCATCATTAGTGTTTGTGGAAGTGAGAGGACTATTACAGGGGTCTGTTATTTTTTTTCTACCATATGGGTTCCAGAGATTAAACTCAGGTCATCAGGCATGGACAAACAAGTGCCTTTACTCACTGAGTCACCTTCTCAGCCCAGGAACCTGTAAATTAACTTTTTTATTCTTAAAATTTTCCAGTGAGTTTTATAGCTCTCTTTATCAGAGTCTCATAGCCCCATTGTCCTTCTGTTTAGTTCGTGATCTGAGAATGCTTCATGTCTAGTGATGATTGGCACTGACACAGACATGGCAGAAACAGACATGAGGACCCTGACTCTAGGGTGCGTGCGTGTGTGTGTGTGTGTGTGTGTGTGTGTGTACGGTACATGACACTTTTATGACCTTTGGGTTCTCTTTGTTCTCTCTTCTGGTAGTCTTCTTGGGATCTAATTAAAAGTAGAAACCTTCTTCCTTAATGCTAAATGGAATCAAACCCTTCAAAGTGAGGTACTGATAGTAGTCCCATGATATTCACTATGTGATTACAATTTTTTATATTTCTGTTGTGTTAAGATTTTTAATTGATTGTTGTAATGATGATTAAATCTGGGGGTGGAGGTGAAAATTGCTTCAAGTACATGTGAAAGTAGGCAACACACCTCTCTCTTATGGTACCCTAGTTCTCTGTTAAAAAAAAAATAGAGCAAAGAAATATAAGCCTAATGAGGACTTGGCTTTCCCCCGCCCCATCTCAGCATAGCAGGCCGTAATCATTTTCCCTTTCAGTCCCTTGGAGTTTGAAAGAAACAGGTAGGGAGACCAAAGCTGTAGTTGGAAGCAAAGAAATATGACAGGCGGTAGTGAGACTGGAAGGGGATTGGACAGTTAGATATCAGCCATAGACAAATGGGAATAGGCATGGCCATAGCAAATAGAGAGGAAATTTGAAAATGTCCACTGTTCTTAGGAAAAGTGAAGATTGTTGGTCATGAGCTGGCATTTTGGCTCCAGTTAAGTAATCTAGGAGCACCAGGAAATTAAATTATTATCAGTATTACTGTGTTTACATATTTGCGATTTCTATCATTGGCTATGTTGCAGAGCCCAGAAACTTCTAAGATCCTGATCCTGTACCCTCGCTGGAAAGCTGACCCTTTCGGTAGTTCTCATTTGTAATGAATCTGTGTGCCTGTGCCCCGCAAGCCCATCAGCTCCTGCTAGTGAGAAGCAGAACCTGCCATTAGATGTCAGCCTTAGCTTTCAGCGTTTCTGCATTCGGGTACCGAGGGAGGTGCTGTACTGTGCAAAAACCAGGGTGGAGCACCCAGGAAGGGACGGATTAGCCAGCCCAAGGCTTGTGTCCTTCTCTTACTGCCTGCCTGCATGATCTTGAGCTCTTCATTTCTCAGCCTGGTCATAAAGATGGGGCGTGAAAGGCTCTTTGCAAAGTCTTGATGCCATGTCCTGGGGAAATACTGTTATTTTGGTCCTTTGGGCTTTTGGAGTACATTGTCTCTAATGTGATGACAGTGAGTTGTTAGAAAAATGCATTTGCTAGAGAAAAACTTGGTTGTTACTCAGCCATTTCCTCTCCGAGGACACGGTTACTTAATTTGTAATTTGGAAACTTCTGTTATTTTTTTCTGCTACTTAATAACTAATAATGCATTGTAGTGCACTTTAACGTTTGTTCTGTAGCTGCTTTTTCTTTTGTGCTGTGTTAAAAAGGAAAGCTGCTTCCATCTCTTAACTGAACTGAGTGATAAATGCCTGTGGCTTCCTGGAAGGAAGTGGACAGGAGCTCTGGACGCTCTCTGTGCTCGCACCTGGGAACTAACTGTAGCCGTCAGCACAAGCAGCTTTGTGTCCTTAAGCCGCGGATGACTCCATGCTTCCTTCTCCCTCAGTTCCTGATTCAATTCTGTGTCTGTGCTTTCTGATACAGATATCAGAAAGTGGGTGCCTAGTGGATAGCTCTCTCCTCATAAGATTAATTCTGGATATATTAATACTGTTGCTTTCTTGTGGTAGAATTAATTATTTTGCTTTCTTACTATTTCCTTCTTTGTGCTTTCTTTATCTTTATTTCTCTTTTTCTTGAGTTGCGTGCCTAATTTATTTTCATCCAGTCTATATTAAAGGCTATGAATTTTCCTCTGCGCATTGCTTTAGTTATATCCTGTAAATTATTATCTAGTTGTTTTGTAGGCAAGAAGTTAAGAGACTTCATTGAACAAGGAAAACAGATTTTAAATTATTTGTATATAGTGAAAATTTATATAAAATTAAATTATAGAATATTTCTGAGAAACATTTTATTTTTTAACTTTTACTACTAAAATTTAATACTTAAAGTTTTTTATTTATTTTTCAAAATAATCTTTTCTCATCTTACATACACTTCCAGTTTTCTCTCCCTCCACTCTTTCTACTTTCTCAACCTCCCACCCACCCCACTTCCATTCACTCCCCAGAAAGGGTAAGGCTTCCCATGGGGAGTCATTGAAGTTTGGCACATCACTTTGAGGCAAGACCAAGGCCCTCCTCCCTATAACTAGACTGAACAAGGTAGTCCATTCTCCAAAGAGAATGGACTCCAAAAAGCCAGTTCAAGCACTAGGGATAAGTCCTCCTCCCACTGCCAGTAGCCCTACAGGCTGCCCCAGCCACACAACTTCACCCACATTTAGAGGGCCTAGTTTGGGCCTATGCAGGTTCCTGTTCTGTCAGTCTGGACAGTCTGGGGTCAGTGAGCTCCCACTAGCTCAGGTCAAGTGTTTCTGTGGATATCCCATCATAGTCCTGACCTTTTTGCTCATATTATCGCTCTTCCCTCTCTTTGACTGGACTCTGGGAGCTTGGTCCAGTGCTAACTGTGGATCCCTGCATCTGCTTCCATCAGTTGCTGGATGAAGAGTCCATGATGATGATTAAGGTCATCAGCCCAGTCAGGTGCCCTCTCCACTGTTGCTTCAATCAAGAAATCTCTTTTCTTGCTTTCCCTCTCTGTCCTTCCCACATCTTGGCCATCCCTTTCCTTCATGTTTTCTTCCCCAAAGAAGAATAGAAAAAACGTTTTATTTTTATCTGTAATTTCAACTCTTGTCCTGTTAGTCATTGGCATTTTCTATAAAACTTTGTATTTTGTTGTGATTATTTATTTTAAAAAAACCCACTTTATCCAAGCCCCTAAGAGCATCCCATCAATAGTGTGGCATCTCCCTGAGAAATACTCATAGTCCTATAAGAGTGACAGCCACTCCTACAATACTGATAGCCAGGAGCACACCAAAGATTTTCTCAGGGAATGTCAAAACTACCAAACGGGCAGCCCAGCTTGCCGGTGGGGATAGGAAGAAGGCCGAAGTGGTCTTCTTAGAAGCGCTCATTTTCAGCTCCATCACCGGAAGGGCAAAATCAGCTTCTGGGGACCCTGGTGTACATGTCTATGGGGCAGCAGATAGAGTGGTGAGTCGGATTTGGGGAGACAGCTCTGGGCACTTGCCCTGAAACGGGAAGCAAAGACCAGTACCTCTGTAGGCCTTAGCCCTGCAGGCTTCAGAGGGGCTGACTGAGCCTCTTGTAGGTGATTGGAAACCACTCAGACACAGGTGCTTGAGTGGGAAGCGGGGGAGCTGCAGGCTGAGGCAGTGCTGCCCCTTCCTCCGCTGTTTTCTAGTGAAAATACTAAGGGATAGTCAGCTTGCCAAAGACAGTTCCTCTTAACAACCCACAAGTGATGAAAAGGCTTTGAAGGACTTAGAATTTATATTAGAGCCTTCACTTTTAAAGAATTTGTGTAGCTAAAAGCAGAAGCTAATTTCTCTGATTTTTTTTTTAATCTTTTCTGCTATTGTGCAGCTCTGTTTTAGTCCTAGAATAAGAATAGCAGGCATTCTCCCCCACATGAGCAGTGGCCCCTTAAACAATCAGGAAAAGGTCTAATGTAGCCTGCTTATTGTGGGTGCACATGTACTTACTACACAGACACTGTTTAAGGGGGCCATCTTCGGGGATGGGATCTTTTTAGTGACTGAGGTGTGGATTCCTTTCAGCAGTGTTAAGAAGCATCTGCACCTGTAGGGGGAGGGGTCCTGGAATGCTGGAATAGGGCATCAGTTTAGGGGTGAGATCTCACTCTCTCTGCCTCAGTCAGGGCTGCAAGGGAGAGCAGATGAGCAAAGACAGGGCCCTTTGTGGTCCTTGCTGGTAGTGCACAGAAGAATGTGGTGAAGGAGCCCAGCCTGTGGTGAGGAGCAGGAGGCAGGCCTTCGAGGAGCTCTGGCCCTCTCTGGCCAGTGAGTTTGAGATTTCAGGACCCAGCTATCATTAGGAGCAGCTCCAGCTCTCCCAGCCTGGGAATTTAATCAAAGGGATAGCAACAGACCACCCAGGCAGGGCCCCACCACGAACCCGTGTGCCGTGTCAGTCTGCCCCCCAGCCAGCCATGCAGAGATGTGGCCAGGCCTCCTGAAATGTGCTGACAGACACAGAAGAGGGGGAGACGCTTTGTGCTCTTGAGATTTTTCATTTTGATGGGGAGTGGAGCAGAAAACCACTCGGTTCTTTCATTTCCGTTGCTCTGAGACTTCCCAGCCTATCCCTGGGGAAGGGCATAGGAAGGTACAGAACGTTTGGGTTGCGGCAGTTAGTCCTTCACTCTTCC